ATCTCAGAACAGTGTGTGGTGCCACCAACACAGAGAACAAAACAGAAGTGACAATACAGTGGACAGACACTTCTGCGGAGCTGGCTGAGATCGGGGGCCACCAGCAATGCCAACCACATCAGCGCCTCACTCCTCTGCCCGGCCGCTAGCAACATGTTTTGACAGGGCATACATGACACACCCAATGTCATAAATGTTAACATCTGAGAAAATACAATGAGTCTTAAACAGGAGGAAATGTGGCAGTTTTCAAAAATCACAAGACCCTGGGTGTTCCAGTTAGCCTGCGTGGCTGGAGCTGTGTCCATCGGTCAGAAAGTTCTAGCTCCCTCCTCCCTTCTGCCCTCCCAGCTCCCCATCCAACTCCAGCAGTGGAGATAGCAGAGTTCAAATCACAGCTTGGAGGGAAAAGCAATCCAGAAAGGAAGAAGACAGTAGTTAAGCTTATTTTAAGCTTCCTGCCTGAACTGCCACTAGGCTGATTGCTTCTAGCTCAGACTTCATGTTCGGAAGGCTCACAGGCACATGCCTATGCTCACGGCTGTGCTGAGAGACGGCGGATCTCTTTTCTAGGGTCCCGAACGTCATTTGAATTATTAATAGTGAAGACACGTGGCTATTGTGAAACACCAACTCGACTCTAATAAAGGAATGAGGAACTAACCCTATCAAAGTATTCTGCAGTTTTGTGTGTTCATGTGTGTGGTTGTTTTGCTTCTGGTGGGTTTTCCCCCCTTCTTTTCTGTAAAGTTACAAAGCAAACAACCTTTTCATCATGGTTTAAAGTCCTCACACAGAAGCCCCTCCCTTCCTGCTTTGCCAGTAAGAGCGTTGCCTTCCTGCTTCTGAAACAATTCCCAGCTAGTCCCTTAAAAGAAGCAGTAAGTCTCCTGATCTGGAAATAGGTGACAAGGACCTACTCAGGAGGGCAAAGCCAAACCAGGCCAAGATGCAAATGTCTCCAAAAGGAATTTACACGAAGCTCTGGAAAAAAGAGTCACCTTAAGGGGCACAGTCCCCCTCTCCCCCACAGCCAGCCCCAGGGTGACAGTGAGCATGCCATGTGCATGTCCCCTGTGGCCAGATGACCTGCACGCGCACTGGAACCCTAAGACCAAGCAAACAGGACCTCAGGCTCCTGCTCCTCAGCCCTCACCCTCCCTGCAGCAAAGAGCAACATGTCTATTGGGACAGCCAGAAACTCTTTCCTCCTGTTTCTGATCATGAAATCCTCCACACGGACCCTTCTCTCAGCGCACGGGCTGTCAGGTCTACCTTACCTATCCAGGTTGGGTCCTTTTGTAGGAAAAAGCCTCCTGTTCCACATTGCTGAATGTCTCTGCAGGGCACACGGGAGGCCTGGGCTTTGCCACCCACTGTCAGTCCCACTAGCACTGGTGGCCCTTTGCCGGGAGCCACTGCTGAAATGTAACAACAACAAAAGGCGCATTTGGAAGAGCAGATGTCTGATCCAAATAAAAAGTCTTCCCTGCTTCCCGGGGACATGTAAATACACCCTTTGCAAGTGCTCCTGTTGAGTAGCTGTCTTCCCGCACAGCCTTCTTAAAATAATTACTAACTCTTTGAAATAGGCGCTGATATTTCTTTAGCAGATTTTGCCCACCAGTTTTCTTATGGTCAGTGATATCATCACAGCCCCTGTTGGATGGCAAATGTCATGTCTTCAAACATTTGTGCAAATTACACATTTATTGTCATTTCCTGAGAGTTGAAAAGACAGTTATAAATTTTTCATTAAGCGTGCACTTAAAAAAAAACAAAAAAACCTCGTTACTGCCAAAATTGCTTGTTGTAACAGAAAAAAAGGAATTATTAAATAATGAAATAAATAGTTGTGGATATGCACCTTATAATAAATGACAAAACCACTATAGCGTGAGCACGTAGTACTTTGTATATGTTCTACGGACACGACTGCTCAGCTTTTACTTTTTGCACATATTTCCTATGAAACGCACCTACCATTTCTTGTATTTCCCACCAATCCTGCTGACTGGCCATGTGATGACATTGCGTATCTCACAGGCCATAGCGCACAACACATAGCCCAAGCTGGCCGACACACCAAGTGGCCTGCAGGAGAAACATCAAATACCTCTCCACCCAGCCCTGCAGACTTGAAGTTGTCTATCCCTCAATGCTTGTGTCTGAAAGCACATTTTATTTTCAATCATCTGACAAGCTGTGCTTAAAAGGGAGATATAAGTTATGCTGTGTCTGGAAAAGGTCAGGGAAGAGAATAATCACTGGTCAACTTTGGGATGTAATCATACATTAAGTGAGAACGGCTTTCCCAGCTCATGTATCTCACACTACTAGGTAAGGCCATGGCAGAAGCACGGATAAAAGCAGAGGTCTACCAAGCCTATCCAGGCTAATTTAATGCAACTGTAAACATGAATATATGATCAGTTTTTCAAAATGATCCATATACATTTGAAAAGAAGATACGTCCTCTTATCAATAGGGTATAGTGTTGAATATGCATAAGATCTACCTTCTTATTAAATTATTTAAACAATTATATCTTTGTTTTCCTTCTGCTTGACCTGTTATGACCTGTTATGTACTGAGCGTGGGGTGTTAATGTTTCCTATTACTAATGTGTTTCTATATCTATTCTAATCTTGTGTAATTTCTGCTTTATATTGGTAGTTGCTATGTTATTTGGTGCATAGACATTCATAATTGTGCATCATCCACTGTGAATGCTGGTTTTCAGTATTATACTTCATTATCTCATTTAAAGCTTTGTGGCATGAATTGTCTGATATTAGAATAACTATCCTCCTCCTCCTCCTCCTCCTCCTCCTCCTCCCAGTCATACTCAGTCACCCTGGCTAGAGTGCAGTGGCATCATCATAGCTCACTGCAACCTCAAACTTCTGGGCTCAAGTGATCCTCCTGCCTCAGCCTCCTGAGTAGCTGGGACTACAGGTGTGCACCATGATGCCTGGCTAATTTTTCTATTTTTAGTAGAGATGGGCCCACCTTCTTATTGTTTTTATTTTTCTGGTATATCTGTGACAGTTTTTTATGTTTTTGACCTTTTGAATCACTGTGTTTGAGGTGTGTGTATTAAATATTGCATTGGGTCAGGTTTTGCCTTGTGGGCCAATTTGAGAATTGACTTATTTTTTACTGTAACAAGAAAAGAGGATAAATCAGTAAAGCCCATTCCATTCATTGATATGACTCATATATTTGGTCTCAAGTGTCATGTTACTTTATAATTATTGCATGTCTCATATTTACCATATTTCTATTTTGAATTGGGATATTTTATTTGCTGTTTATTTTTTCATTTCTTTTGTCATTTCAGATTTTTGTATGTTTGTTCCAGTGGTTGCTTTTGTATTTATTCCATTTATAGTAACTTTAATCCCTTTTTTTTCTTACTGAACATTTTTCTTTCTGGTATGACCATTTATACTCTTTTCCCTCACCCATTAAATATTTAACTATCAATTCTACTTTTCAACTTTCCTTTTTCTCCATTCTCCTCTCTTATTTTTTGATTGTATAGTTTTATTTTTACTATTTTTCAAAACATAATATATAATACTACTCTTCAATCCATGTCCTCACCCTTGTTTTAGTCATATAATTAAATATATTTTCATTATGCAATACAATTACATCAATAAAATTACACCATAAAATAATTACACCATAAAATACATTTTCACCACTAGTTCTTTTGCTGTGATTTTTCCAATTATTTCTTTCTTGAATAAAGCTCATCCTCTAGGAGAGTCCTACTGAAAATGTGTATTCCTTGAGTTACTGCATGTCAAAACTGTTTTATTCTAATCTTGACACTTGAAGGACATCTTGTTTGGATATAAAATCATTGGCTTATACACTTGCTTGTAAATCTTTTCATAAATCTGCCCCATTATTTACTTATTTTGTATGTTGTTCATGGAAAGTCCAATGCCAGTTTAATATTCTTACCCTTATAAGTAATCTTTTTGCCTGGCAGCCCTGTAGTGGATCAAATAATGACCACCAAAAGATGTGTCCATGTCCAAATCCCTGGAACAGGCGAATGTTAACTTATTTGGAAAAACAGTCTCTTGTAGATGTCATTAAGGATCTTGAGATGGGCCAGGATTATCCAGGCAGGCCTTAGATTCAATGACAAGTATTCTTACAAAAGAAAGGCAGAGGGAGGTAGAATTGAGAGAGAGAGTGGAGGAAAGATATGTGGTAAAGAGGAAAAGGCCATGTGACTACAGAGACAGGGATCTGGAGTTACGCATACACAGCCAAGGAACACCTGACATCACCAGCAGCCAGAAAAGGCAAGGAAGGATCCCCCTCCACAGTCTGTAGACAGAGAGCCCCATTGACACATTGGTTTTGGACTTCTGGCCTCCAGAACCGTGAAAGGATAAATTTATCTTGTTTTAAGTCATGAAGTTTGTGCTAATTTGTTATAGCAGCTCTAGAAAACTAATATAGTCCCCAAGGATGTGTGTGTGTGTATCTTTTAAGCCTCATAGTTTATTAGAAAATGTCTCAAAGTTGCTCCTTCTAGGTCAGTTTTCCTACAGTGGGTCTCTTCAATACATGAATTTATATTTTCTCTTATTTATGGAAAGTATTCTTGGATTAGAGTTCTGTTCCGTTGCTTTGTTTTTCTTCTTCCGGGAACTCCTATTATACGTATGTTGGACCTTATATGCCTGTGTTCCATTTCAATCACATTGTCTTTAACCCAGTTTACATCTTTCTTTATTCTCTTGGTTATTTTACTGCTCATCCTCAATATTAAAATTGTTCAACATTCAAATCCATTCTTGTTTGAGCACCTTGTAATTTATTCTCCATTATTGAAATGGTTGTGTATTTTTCTTCAATTTCACTGCCTAGGTCAATTAACTCTTGTTACATTTCTTCCTAATTTTTGTCCATCTATGGTTTTAGTTTTTAAAATTTCTGATTCTGTTGGGTTTTTCTCTAAATATCGCTAGTTTTTTTTTTTTTAACATAATTACTTCTGTTTGGAATACTGAGTTACTGTTTTCTTCTGCTCTGTGGTTGATACTGGGTGAGGAATTTTTATCACTTAAACTCTTATGCTTCTCATTTTTCTTCCAAATAATAGTAGCTCTTTATGGAGTTAGGTTGATTTTTTTTCTTTTCTTAGGAATTTTCTAGATAGAATTTCGAATTCAAAAATACCCTCTCCTGTCAGTGCAGTGCAAAAGCAGATACTGATGGGAGGGAGCCATCATGTCTTATTTCTTTCTCATTTCTGCAACATCCTCAATGTTTCCCTCTTAGGTCCTTCTTTCTCTGAAGTCCTTCTTTCACTGCAAGAAGGGGCACCAGCCCTTTTTCGTTGATCTGATTCTCCTTAAGAAGCAATGCTTCCTTGAAGCTGCTACTTCTGGTCCTCCTCACTTTCAAACCCCTTCCCTCTGTGCTTTGAATGTGTCACTTAGTATTGAAGCTTATTCTTTCTGGGGTTGACTTTGTGTATACTACATCTAAGTCTTCCATGCCTCTTTACTCTTTTATCCTGGAGGTTTTAAGTCTCCTCTCTTCCACTCATACCCAGCTTATAGTAGCAAGTGATGGGAGTTCTGTTGGAATATGGTGTTTATTTCTCTACTTATTGGTGATTTAAAATGTGTGGTATTCTCTATATTCTATTAATGTTAAAGGCATGGGCCATGTGTGGTTTTCTTGTGCTTCTGTTGCATTTAAGTGTTGTATGAAGATGTGCAAATTCAGATGACTGCAATTATTCTGGAAACTCCCTTAAATTAGTGTTTCTTAACCTTTTAAAACCCACCTTCTGTCTTCATCATTATAAAAATCACATACACTATTGTCAGTTTTATAAAACTCAAAATAGATGAAATGTTATAACTACAAACAAAATCAAACCAATGAGACACAGACCCATTTTCTTTTTAGACACACATTATCCCCTCCACAGATTGGGATGTGTGAACATTTACTTACCTTCTCCTCCAAATCACTGAATTGGCCCACTGTATATTTAGGAAAACTGACCTGGAAAGAGCAACTTTGAGACATTTTTTAGAGTAATAATATTGGATCAGAATATTTTTCCATAGTTGTTTTGATGCAGAAACATTTTGATACCTCAGAATTTACAACTTTTATAATACCTTTGTTCCCCTTTTTAACTCTTTACTGCCTGTTCTTTCCAAGTGGTATAATTTGACTCACACCTAATACCTGTACAATTGTCAATAATCTTATTCTGTTTTGCCACCTCTCCTACATTATTTAGTTGTGTTCTTTCCACTTTGCCAGAACATGTAACATTTACATGCTATTAATATTATTCCAAACATGTCCTTTTAGTCTTAGCTATATAATTAAATACATTAAATTTTCATTATCAGCTCATTTGCTGAAGTTTCCCCAGTTATCTTTTGCCAGATGAAGTTCACCCTTTAGGAGGCTCTCTGGAAGGGCATGTAAGTATGGTATTTATTCTCTGTGAGGGCTTCAGTGGAAGTAAAAGTGGCAGCCTCAGAGAAGCATTACTTTTGGAGGATAATCAGCTACATAGAAAAGGGGGGTACTCTTTGCAGAGTTGGCAGTGATGAAAAGGATGGAAGCAAGAGAGGGAATTTTGAGAATTTCTTGAAGAAATGAAAGAGATACATTTTTAGATCATCATGATAACTTCACAATGAGAAAAAAAAACTGTTTTTATTGTGCAGTTGTAATTTGAATGTCCCAGGGCTTCCCAACCTGGGAAGGTACCAATAGGTACACACGATGTCATACTAATACTATACTAGCTATGCTAACCTTGAAAGTCCAACCTATGCAACCTCGGGAGTTCAGATGTCTTTATGGGCTCAAGCAACAGTCAGGACACTGTACCAAGAACAGCTCCTACCCCCATTCAGGTTTAATTGGCCCTAGCTGGTCACATCCTCAGGCTAGATTCTCTTCCCAGGATCCAGTCTCTGCACAATCTTCTAGCTCTTTTCTCAGGAGGCTCCTCAGCTGCTATGTTTATTTGTGCAAACAGATGCCACAGAAGGAGTGTCCCTGCCCTCAGTCCTGGCACAGGTTATGCTCTGAAAAAGCACCTGTCACACAAGCTCCTCATTCTGTCCATGAGCTAGGGTAAGATTCTAGAATAGGGTAGGAAGATACCAGGAAAGCACAAAGGCCTAATAGCTCAATGCTCTGAGAAATATGTTGAAATATTTTCATTTTCAAAATGGCTGAGTCAAAATGTCATGCATCCCATGAACCTGGTGGGAATTATGATGCAAACTGGTCCAGAAAGGAAATATAATTGACTACAATCTGCCCTATATTTTTATATCATTATCTTACTTCTTACAACAACCTTGCAAGTAAGGTGTTAATACCCTGGTTTTATGTATGAAGAAATTGCTTCCCCTGGATATTAAGAAATTTGACCAAAGTCATCAGCAAGTGAGTGAGACAAACCAAGGTTTATCTGATTTCAAAAATACATACTCTTCTCATTACATAATGCTGCCATCCCATACACACTGGAGAATATGGGATGAAGATGCTGTTCTCTGTACATTCTTACCCGGGTTTCTCACTCCGTTTGGTATTCTCGGCAGAGCGGTTTCTCGAGGTGTGAAGGTAGGCAATCAGCACCATTCTCACCTCCATCTAGTGCACCTTCCTCTACTGCAGAGGCTGGCAATCTAAAACCAAATTTCCCAGTCTTACTTGCAGCCTGGAGTTAGTTCAACCAATTGTGAGTTAGGTTCAACCAACGATATGCACTTGCAAGAGACATGGAAGTCAGAGTGGAGGCAGGAGACGCTTTCTTGCTGATCTGGCTGTAATCATCAGCAAACACGATTATGGAGACGCTGGGACATTCTGAAGTGGTGTCTCAATGGTTAGCCACTAATTTCATGGGTGTCGAGAGACAGATGAGGTAGTGGTGGCAGGAACTTCCTGATGAGCAGATTTCAACTAAAGAAAAATGTCCTCACAGTCAGTATTTCCAGTGGTTTCCAGTGTCCTGAGTTCCTGCCTTGACAATGGTGGCAGAGGTGGAAGCCACCTGGAAAACTGGCTCCTCCAGGCCTTCCCACCAAGCTGTAAACACCTGCTGCTCTCTATTCAATGCCTTTCAGCTTAAAATAGCTAGAGTGGTTTTTGTTTCCTGCAACTGAGCCCTGCTGATAGGCTGTTTTCCTTCTTTCCTTCTAACTGCTGGTTTCTGCAACTGCCAACCCTGCAATTGATCCTTTAAGCTCTAAAATGAAAGCTTTGAATATCTCCATCACTCTCTAGCTTCCTTATCCAGCTTTATTTTTTCTCCATAGCATTTATTGTCACCCAAAGATTATTTTTATTTGTTGGTTGAGAGTCCACCCTACCAGAATTTAAACTCCATTAGAACAAGGACTTTGTTTTATTCACTTCTGTAACAGCTCTTTAACAGTTAGAACAGTACCAGCAAATAGCAGGAATTCAGTAAATAGTGTTGAATGAAGAAAATCTACTTTTCTTAACAAAACACTACATTAAATTAATGCATTAGTAATAGACTCATCAACTATATACCCTCAATAATGTCTCCTCATGAAGCTTTCACCAGGGTTTAAAAAATCCTCAAAGAACACAAAATGTCATTTCTCCTATGTATCTAGACATTAAATTTAGAGCAACCAACTCCTCCCTGTTTGCCCGAGGCCTTCCCAGTTTTAGCACTGAAGCTCTCACATCCTGGGAACCCCCTCAGTTTTGGGTGAGCCAAGACAACTGGTTACCCTAATTAAATTCATGAGCTGCTAAGAAAAGGCACTTGGAATTGCATTATTTTAAATCAGTCTTTAAAACTTTGAAATCAAAGTTTTAAAACACAAATCTGTTGAATCAGCCTGTGGTTCCCTTCCCATATCACAGCCATGTTATACGGGAGCCTTGAAACCACCAGGTCAAATTCAATCAATGGCTTTGGGCTATATTTTGCTTTTTTTTTTTTTAACTAAAATTCCTACTTGCATGTCCCCTGGATATTTTGGAGTTGAGCCTGTGAAATCTCTTCTGTATTTCAAAGTTACATTAAAAACATGATACACGAGTTTCCCAGAGAAAAGGCGCCACAGCAGTGAAGAAGAGCTCCAGATCCACAGCATTAGAGGATCACACACTGGGAGACGGGAGCGTGAACTCTGGAGAGGATGTGCATCAGTGTGGCTAATTCTAAGGAAGAATAAAGGCTTAGGCAGCACTAGCCACAAGCAACACACCCCCATCTAGCTGCTAACATTATCCGGAAACTTCAGGCAGTGTGTTCCAGCATAACTTGTGGATCTGAAACATCAACGCCTTCGAACGGAGCACTGGAGAGCGTTTGGAGAATAAAAGCATCTCAGATACACGGCCATTGTTTCCGGCAGATGGAACATCCTGGGTGCCCACTTTCCTCGATGATTCATGTGCATGTATGTCTGGGTGTTCAGACTGTAAAACGTTCTTCTCAACCCAAACTGAAACTTAAGAGATGCTATTGCCCTGGACATTTTTTTTTGCACCTGCAAAAACAGTTGTGTCTCTAAAATCAACTGGTTTGGCCACACGGGCCATTATATGTGACAGTGGTGTCTCTCCAGCCGTGCACGTAAGGGGTTAACGGAGCAGCAGTTGCACAATCCCAGCACAATGCATTCCACAGAGCCAGTAATCTCTGTCTGAACATGTTTATAAAGCAGATACGGAGAAACTGACCAAACCTCCAAAGGGCAGCTTGCTCAGAGGAACAGAAGTATGCACGCTGCTTTTCTTAGGAAGAAACTTGGTCAGAGGACTCCAGAATACAATCTTTTCAGACTATGTGAACTCTGAACTGTCCTGTCTTGATCCTTCTACGGCATGACCCAGGTTCTTGGACAGACTTAACATTTTTGCTAAAACTGTTTATTAGGCCTGACCACTTCCTTCCTTCCAGGCACTATTTTCAGAAGCAGAGACAAAGCGCCTCTGCACCTGTTGTTAGTGTGGCCACAGAAAACGGCTATGAAACCCTCATTTGTCCTCACAGCGGGGCCAGCAATGCCCAAGTCCAGGCAGGGGATCATACCGGTGTCTAGTGGGTGGGGTGGGGCCCGGAGGCCAGGCAGCCTCAGGAGGGAACATCTGAGAATCCACCATCTTCCTGCATCTCCCAACCTGAAGATTCGCACAGCCCGGGCTCTCTTCTCCAGGTCTGCAGCTGGCCATGGCCCTGTTCCCTTGACACTGGGAGTGGTGGGGGCAGGGGAGGAGGAGATGCTGGCGGTGATTGCCCAATACATACCTGATCTTGTTGCACATCGGGATGCAAAAGAGAACGAGACAGAGCCTCAAGCAGCTTACAGTCCCATGGGAGACAGAGAAACTCCTACTCTGGTACCCTTAGGAGGGATCCACTGCAGGCAGGAGATAGCCGGAGAGTCGGTCGGATTTTTGTCCCCGTGGCTCCCATGGCCCTGGCCCTGGGCATGGGATGGGGTTTCAGGCTAAGGAAGGTGGCTGAATACCACCAGGCAAAAACCAGCTTCTGCCTCCATTCTCTTTCCAAACCAAAACAGGTTCCGAGACATGGGATCTCTGACTCCTGCCTGCCAGAGACCCACCTTGGCTACCTGTTTGCAAACCTTTCCCTAGCTTCTTGTCTTTCTTCAGTAGAAATGTGGCAGAATAGTAGGGTTCTTATTTTCACCTTTGATCTGGGCCTGTTTGTCCAAAGCTACAATAAGAGAGAGCTTTAAAAGCCTAAGGAATTCAATACCCAAAGAATGGCCTCAGCAAAAGGAATGTCTAATGTTCCATCTCTCTGAATTAGGGGCAGGAGGCCATTAGGGGCTTAACACCTTTTTCATGCACATGCAAAGTAGTTCCCAAAGCACAAGTTTGAAAACTCAGACTCCTTAAGCCAAATCACTCACCTTCCTCATTCCTAGAATGTCTGTCTCAGCAGTAGTTACACACACAGTGTACTGGTGGAGTACACTTTGCATTGGAGGAAAAGAAAAGGGTATTATTTTAAGGTTTTGATGTCCAAAGAATTTATGTTTCTTATCCATGTATATTTCTTCTTCTCTACAAATACATTTAAATAGACTAAACACTGCCTTTGGCAGTCACTTCCTCAAAACATGGGAAAAAATGCTACGGTGGAGCAGGGATTTATTTAGACTTGCAAATGGTGTTCTAGAAGCCCTTTGTGTCAAGGTGTGTAGGATGTGCTGGGTTCTTGCAACCTCACCACTGGCTGGAAGCACCTGTCACTGGATTCATAGTTCACAGCTGTGCAATGAGCTTGTTATCAAGGGAGTGACCGAGGTTACTGGCTGCAGAGAATGGAGCTATTGTTCCAAAGGCAATCACACTGAACCTGCTACTTACGCATGCACAAACACACACACACACACACACACAACCCAGCCCATCATAAAAGCATATCAGCTCACACAGGTGCCAACCAATGGAAGCACGTGTCCCTGTTACTTCCTCTAAGCAACAACAAAGTCTGAGGCTTGAGTCCAAGAGATGCCCCATCTTGTCTCAGCCCTAGGCGTTGTGTAACCAGCTTATTTTCCTAGGCTCCTGGCAAGCATCACTGAGAAACAATATGGCCTTTCCCAGAAATATTTTCAACATCATTCTCTTTTTCATGGCCTTATTGGCACTGGAGTATTGTCTTTGGTACTTAAATTGTGCATTTCCAGATCCTGAATTTTCTTCCACCTGGGGAGGTTCCCTAAGTCTGGTACCACGACAGGAGCAGCAGAAGAGGGTGGGAAGGGCATTGGGACCCACAAGCTGCCGCAGGAGGCCGGATCTGAGCTGGACGCCCCGTCTGCGTGTGGGAGAAGGAAGAGAGAGGGGACCCGAGCTACTTTAAACACTCTCATAACCAGGCCATGTGACTCAGCGCCACCTTTGGTTTACTGCTTTGGTAATTTATTTAAAACAGGATGACTAAGTGAAAGGATTTAGACATAAGTCACAAAGAACTGGACTCATCCATTTAGGACCTGGGAGAAAAGTAGGTCTTAACGGAGCAGCACAGAGCATCTCTTCCTCCTTAACACTACTAGGAGATCGAGAGAAACACGACCAACAAAAGCGCCCCTCGCAGGAGCAGTCTGCCGTCGGCGTGTGGCTACAACACGTCCACCAGGAAGATGGTCCAGCCGATTTCCGTTTAGGGCTGGAGACGTTTATGACCGCTAATTATATCCGCAGCCTCACGTGGAGATAGGCACAAAAACAGCCCTTTGTCCTTTCACGGAAGGCACCTTTTCAAATATTAACCTGGCAGTCTCCTCCACAACCCCCAGAGGTGACAGGCGGGCAGCTTGGTGTTCCGAGCGTGCAGGCAACACGGACACAGGAGAGGCTAGCGCAGTGGCCTTCTCCAGGCCAGGCCTGGAAACACCAAACAGGTGATGAGGATTGGTGCCCTTGACGTCACATTTCTCACTCTAAGACATACTGTAAGTTTTCCAGAAAGTGCCTAAGCAAAGGCCCCGAGTCCCAGGAGGAAAAGTGACTCACATGGAGTCAGAGCCCAATAAATACCTCCTGCTATTTAACATGGTGCTCTGTAAGTGACACAAACACAAAACCCTAGTCCTATGCATAAGCCTGTGGACAAGAACAGGCAAACACGGAGGGGGTGGGATTTGCTCACAGCAGAGAGGGCGAACAGTAGAGTGCCTAAAAAGACCCCCTTCTTCCTAATGAATGTTGCCAACACAAAGAGATGATAAATGTTTAAAAGGACGGATGTGCTAACAACAACAACAACAAATAAAAACCATAGTCACACCGGACTTGGGCTCCACTTGTTCCTGGACTCTTATCACCCCTGTGACCCGAGGGAAGGCACCTTCATTCTAAGTCTTCATTTCCTCCAGGCGACATGGAGACAAATCCCCATTCTGTAGCACAGCGGTGATGAGCGCAGAAGGTAAGGCGTGCAATACCCCCTGCACCGGGCCTGGCGTGGGGTGAGTGCTCGCTGGAGGATGTCACACGCCGCCCCGTGGTAGGAACCTCCAGGGTTCCTCGTGGTCAGCGAGGAAGAGAGTCTGGGGCCCTGAGAAGCGATGGTGCTCTGTCAGTCCTACCCCACCAGCGAGCTCTCTCAAAGCAGACACAGACAAAGCCAGGAGTGATGCCCATTAAAAATTTAACTATATATCATATTCATTTATTATCAATCCACAGGATAATCTGATTGCTACATGAGCTCATAAAAGCTTTTCTTCACCTTTACAAAATTAAAAAAAAAAAAATGTGCCACAAGGATGTAATAACAACTGCTGATAAACAAGAAAAGGAATCTTAAAATTATAAATTTGCTGTAGAAAAGATAAAAAACAATTATATTTTATTTAGAATTTTACCTTGAATAAAATATTCCCCTGTATAAAAAATAAAAAAGCTTGCTCTGGTTAGAATTAGAGTATTTTTGTCTTCCAATCTGGGAATTTGCATAATATTTCCATGATCGTTTTCCTTTGTACCGCGTGGCATTCAAGCATGGCAGATTAGAAATATTTTTTTTTTTTTAAGCAGTCTTAAAATGGGACATCTGCGGAGAAGTTCATTTTCTTCTTCTCCTCCGGATGCAGAACAGAGGCTCTGAGGGGAGGGAGAGGAGGGGAGGGGAGGAAGTGGACGGGACGGGGTGGGAGGCGGGGAACAGCACAGGGGAGGCGGGCCGTGCCGAGGGACAGAGCAAGGTCGAGAGAAGGCCTATCTGTAAGTGCTTTAAGATAAGGTGCAGAAGCAGACTGCAGCGTCGCTAGGACTGCCCTATGTACATATTCACAAGAATAAAAAATTCCAGCTAGTTCACATTTTCTCGTCCGTTCTGAGGCGTCCACTCCATCATGCTGGCGGCCCTGGCCGTAGGCAATGCAGCACCGCCACTGCCCGTGTGGGTGTTGGTCCTTGAACTTGAGGGAGTAGCCCTGGGAGATCCAGCAGGCTCTAGAAATACGCGTCTACCAATGGGCTGGAGTCCTGAGTTAAGAAGAAGCTCCAGTACTGGAGTTGGACACAGCAATCACTGTTCTATGATCAAGGCTTTTTCCCTTAGATTTGTCTAAAATAGGTGTCAGAGAGAAAAAAAAAATAATAATAATAAAATACAAACAAATCACAAAACAGAGCCAAGAAATCCCAACAACCACCAGGGAGAGTCAAAGGCTTAGCAGCTCTTGACGCGGGCCTGGGTGATGTCTGACGTCTTCTTGATGACGCTGGCCCGGGTCTCGCGGTCCGGCCGACTGCTGCCGGGGGCGGCGGTCACGGACGGAGACAGGGGGAGGTCCGCGAAGGGGGGCCAGGAGCTGTTGTAAGGCAGCGGACAGCTCTCCTCTTTGATGGTGACCTGGAGGTCGGGCTTGTTGGAGGTGACGAAGGTCGCCATGCTGGGCAGCAGGTACGTGCTCCGCGAGCCCGTGTTGCTGAGGTACTGTTTGCCTTCGATGTTCCTCTTCCACCAGTGCGGCCGCCCCTTTCAAAGAAAATAAGCAACATGTACGTTTCCTTTCCCTACCACGAAATGGCTTTTTGACCCTTTGCACTCTCGGATGTCGAGTGTGACTCGACACGGCTAGCAAAAATTATAGAGATTAAAATTACTCTTTGAATGTATCAATAATTTGAAATATTAAAAAAAATCCAAAAAAATAAAGTTTGTATGAAAAGGAACTCCAGTTTTTTATTCTACTGCCGTGCTTTGTAAAATCTGGGGTATTTAAAAAATTAAATCTCGGGTAGAATAAAGAAATCGAGAAAAAAAGCAAGCGAGTGCAAAGGGTTACAAATGTGCCACACTGCCCATGTGTTGGTGTTTTCACTGAATTTTTGAAGAATGGGGGAATGAACAAAACCTTAGCAACTCTGCAACCCTCTGCTGAAAGCTACACCCAGCAAGTCACACCCTAAGCAACTGTTTGCCTTCACTTTTTTTTTTTTTTTTATTCTTTTTAAATCAATTCCCATTTGCTACTTCCCAGAAACGCGGCCCAGACTCCTCCATGAAGGCAGCAGCTTGGTTTCTGGTCCCCTGGGCTCCGGCTGCCCCAGCACAATCACTGGGTAGGTTCCAGGCCCTGGTGGCCTGTCTGTCACGGAGCTGGGTCCTCACTGCTGGCCCAGTTGGATCTTTGCGGGAACTTGCGCTTTCAGAGGAAGGGAAGTGAGGAACTTAGTAACGGGCAGTGCGTGCCCCTTGCCTGCTTTCAAATGGGGACGGCTCAGGGCTCCATGCTGCCCGGGGAGCAGCTGGCCTCGGGCCTGGCTTCGTTCAGAGGAGGAGCTAGAATTGTGATCTTGAAGCAACAGGGTCGGGTACACGTGAGCACGCACACCTACTGTCCTTTCCCGCACTTTCCTCGGAAGTGAATCACTATTTCAAACAACTATGAGCCTCTCTCCCTCCCTCTGTCTCTCTTCTTCTCCTTCTCCTTCACTCAAGCACAGACCCAGAGGGGGCGGCAGGAACACTCTCCGTCAGCGTGACAGCCACCCCCTGCCACAGAGAGAGCCCAGCCCCCGGAGGGAGCGGGAACAGGCACCCCGGGATCAAGGCTGGACACGCACCCAGCCTCCGGCCCCCACACGGAGGGAAGGGGCTGCTGGGCACGCGGAGAGACTTTTGCTTAGCTCTGCCTGGCGTGTGCTTCTGGCCCCTGCTTTTGGCCACACAGGACGTGCTATCTCTGCTTGTAAACGAGGATGCTTATGGCGATAAGAACATCGACGTTTCCTGGCCTCAACTTGGATTCCCTCTTCCTGCCCTCACGGCCTCTCTTCCTGCTGCTGACGTTTGACTCTCTGTCCTCCCAGTCAGCTCCCAAGGCTGAATTTTCTAACCCCAAACCCAGAAGCATGGTAAATTTTAGGTTACGTATATTTGACAACACACACAAAAAAATCCCAAAGTGAAACTCATGACGTAAAGCAAAGGCGCGTAAGCAGCAGCGAGGACACTCGGCCCGTGCGCAGCGCGTGGCAGGCGAGGGCGGCGGCCGGCTTACCTCGGCGTTCTCTTCGTCGCTGGGCACGCTGTCGGTCGTTTCGCTTTCTGTTCACAGAGAGAAAAACACGGAGCCGTCATTCCTGCCACGCCAGCTGTCCCGAGGCTCGGGCAGTGTTTGCAGAAAGAGAAATGGAAACTAGACTCATCTCTCCCTTCCTGTGCAGGTGGGAGAAGCGAGAGCGATTCTGCCTCTCTAATCGCGGAGAGAGAGCGGGTTTGGGAGTTGAGGGAGGCCCACTCTGCAAGGCCAGGCTGTGTCTACACGGGCAGGGCACTGCCTCCCAGGAGGGGCCCGTCCCCACTGCAGCTCTGTCTGCATTGCCCTCAGTGGTCCTCACTTCCGGTCCACGCCGATCGTCTCACCTGAGGCCCAGTGCAGAGGGGACACTTTCCAGGTTTCCCTAGATCACCCTCTTTCTACTCGGATCCCCCCTCTACCTCACACCGCCAGCACTGACATCGCGGCTTCCCAGAGCTGCAGCTTCACCCTGGGTGGCCGTGGGTGCGAGATCCAGGGCTGCCCATGCCCCTCCCCTCCTGGGGTCCACTCTGGGGGTCCCTCTCTTGGGTGTGGGTGGGATCGGTGACTGCTTCTAACCCACAGAATACTGCCGAGGTGATGGGGAGTCTGCGGGCACGTGCTCCCAGTCACATGCCGTGACACTGGCACTTGTCTTGTGAGGAGTCGCACTCCCTCCTCGCTGGCCCTGCAGAAGGAAGCGGCCGTGTGGGGAAGGCTCCCATGGCAGGGAACTAAGGGCTGCTTCCAGCCAACAGCCAGCAAGAAACCAAGGCCCTTGGTTTGACAGCCTGCAGGGAACCAAGTTCTGCTGGAAACCATGTCAGCTTTGAAGCGGATCCTTCCCCAGTTGGGGCTCGGATGAGACAGCAGCCCTAGGCAACACCTTCCCTGCAGGTCTGTGAGACGCTGCAGCAGAGGACCCAGCTGAGCCACACCTGGACTCCTGACCCACAGCAACCGTTAGGTCACAAATGTGTGTTGTTTCAAGCCACTAAGTTTGTGTTTACATTGTTGCACAGCAATAGATAGATAACTAATCAGTTCCCGTCCTGATCTGGCCTGCCAGCTGTGAGACACGGGGCAAGTTTCTCAACTTCACTGAGATACAGTTTCCTCGTCTGTAAAATGAGAGTATCACCACCTTCCCAGGATGATCGTGTGACGTGCAAGTGAGAGGGTGTGTGGGAAAGGCCTCGTGCGGGCCCGGCACACAGCACACACTCAGCAAATCAGCGTCGTTCAACACTCGATGTGCACGCCAGGCTGGATTAAGAGAGTCGAAGTCAATAGCTAGTGATTGTACATTACCTATACACATTTTAAAAAGATGTTTTATTGTAAAAAAATTATAATTTTTTAAAATAAAAACTCAATGGTGTACAGTTTTTCAGTGTTCACAGCCATTGAAAAATGGAATTACAGAGGGGGGATCTTCTGAAATGCACAGACATTTAGAGATCAGTTAGCCTGGGTCATTCAGTTTACAAACAAGGCCTAAAGAGACATGTACGGCTTCTCTTTGTAACTATCAGGGAACATCGCGAGAGTGCTAAGGCAGTGCAGTGCCAGAGCCTCTGCAAGCAGGTCTGGTTTCACCCTCACATGGGATCCTAAGCCGGGAAGGAGCTGCCATCATCCCCCATTATGCAGAAGAGCTATTATGCTCTGGTGCCTTCTACCTCCTTACCCTGCCCCCGCTAGGGGACCGGCCGCCAGTCTCATCTCCCTGATAGCAGAGCTGGAACAAGACGGCTCCAGCCAGCCCAGATAGGGCCCTTTCTACCACCCAAAGCACCAGCCACAGACCAGGATCTTGATGAATTCAAGGCTAAAGAACAAATGAGCAGGTGTGCCACAGCTTCATTCCTTAACAAAGAAAGCGAGGATGTACACTGCACTGTCCCACTCTGGAGCCTTCTGGCATGTTCTCGGCCACTGCTCTCCACTGACCTCACACAGGCCTGGGTGATCGCCAAGGGCTGCCCGTGAGCAGCTAGAGGACAGGCCTGTCCACGGCTCAGACCTGGCCTGTTTCCCCCAAAGCAGGCCCAGCGGGGAGCACCAGACGCCTCAGCTGATGACGAGCTGAGCTATGAAGACAAACTGGCCACACCAGGCACAAGAAACGTTTCCATGCAGAAACAAACAAAAAGCAACAGAAAAGGAAAACACTCCCCAGCTCCCACAACCCTCACGAGAGCTCTGTATCCCTAGGAGGCAGGAATCAGCACTGCCACTCCCAGGAAGAAAAATGAGGAACAGAGATGTTGAGAAACCTGCCAAAGTTGCCGACTGAGTCAGCACAGAGGAGAGAAAACAAAACTGCACTTCTGATTCCAGGGCTTGTGCGCCGAACGCAGCAACTCGGCTTCCCTGCTGTTCTGGACTCTGACAAAATCTCAAGATCCGCTTTCCGTTTTTATGCTCAGCTTTCTTTGAAGCCAAGGTTTCTCTTCCTTCCATACATGTTTGGGCTCCCTTCACCCCTAATTATCCTCCATAAATGCTGTCGTCTTATGTTCCTTTCCCCTCCAAACAGAAACAAGGTCATGCCACCAACCACGACTTGGGAGCTGGGATCCCACCCCAGCCCGAGTTGGAGTTCCTGCAGGGGGTGGAAGTCGGATCCCAGGTTCAGACTCTATGCTAAGACCTTGCAGAGTGCAAGGACGTGATCGGAATGTTAATTTCCTTTAAGTACTTGGTTTTTGACTTCAGAGAAATAGTTGCAGATAAGAAAAGAGACACATGTTCTGAGCTTATGTTTTCAGCCAACACAAATGCCAGTTGAAGAGCCTGTTTCCAAATTAAGATCCACAGCTTCTGAAGTAGGTAGGATGACTCTCCATATCAGCAAACCCAGGTTTCTAAGTTTTTTGTTTAAAAAATGGCCTTGAGTGCCTTCAGCCTAGGAGCAGGCGACACCTGCACCTCCCACCTGAAGACCCAAACCCTCCTCTGTGGAATAACAGCAGTTCCCATGGCGACCGCTGAACAGGTGGTTCATGGCGCTCTCTGGAGCGTACTCTGCCCGATTTCCTCTGTTCTCTTGGTTTTACTACATCATTGCCACTTCCAATGGCTTCCTACATGACACATGAGTTCACTGCCACTGCTGCTTCCAGATCAATGTCACTGCCAAGCTATCAACCTTTTTCTTTTTGATTACTTTAGATTTTTTTTTTTTTACTTCAAATACAATGGAATAAAAAAGTCTGGAGTTGCTTCGCTAGCATGGTCTACATAAACTGAAAGTGTTGGCACAGTAATAACAGGTACGTGAGTCATTCATTTAGCCTTTCTGGCCTCAGTTTTCCTGAAAGCATCTGGGGTGATAGGGAAGGGGACCAATGGGATCAGGTGACCTCACAGGTTCTTTCGGAGCTGCAGTTCTGGGATGATGCTTAGTCGCAGGTTCACACTCCACCTCAGGCCAGTTTTTAATGCCTCCCTGAGAACACATCCTGCTGAACCATCTCAAGAACATTATGGGGAGGGAGACGACATATTTCATGTGAAAGCTTTTTTGCACTATGACATCCTGGTACATTTTCTGGAAGGCTCTTGTTCAACAGGTTTTATTAATATGATTGACAAGGATTTCTTCCTATCGATCATACCCTCGATGACCTTCACTAGAAGGCTCAGCTAAATCATTCGTATTAGAGTCCTCTTCATCTCACAGCCCTTGTATCTTTGCTCCACCCAATAAAATACAAGGCTGATGTGGTTTCCATAAAAACCCAAAGCATGAGCTGATGATGACTGCTGGTCAGTAGGCGATCTCCACTCGCTCGGTGATAACCACTTAATCCTTTGCACTGAGCTTTCTTCTCAAGTCTTGTCTCCACCCTCCTCCGCCATCCTCCCCCAAAATACTACTGTGGCTTTCTTTTACTAAATCATCAACCACCTAATAAAATCCCAGTGCCACACATCAGTGAAGAGGCCACCTCTGCGTAGACCTTTCAAATCCTCTAGAGCTTCCCAAGCTTGGGCTTGGGATCATCCCTCCCTCCCCAGGATGAAAGTTTTACAAATCAAATTAGAATTTTATGTTGTCTTAAAATGCCCAATGCAAGTACCTCCATGCAAAGAAACTATCTCGTCTCTTTCTCATCATAATATTTAGGCCAGAGAGAAGACAGACTTGCAAAACTGCATGTGGTTTTATAATACTACTGGGATTGTATTTCAATGATTAGCAGGAGAGAAAAATAGCCAACAGCAGCCTCCAAGTACCAGTTTCCTAAGCAGGTGAATGAAGGTGGTTAGAGGAGGTTGAAATCCAGTTGCATAGCTGAAGCAAAAGAACTCTGCCGTAGAAAACAGGCAAACACCCTAAGTGATTGGGGAATATAAAGTTAGAAAGGTGAATACAGCCAAAAGGCTGCCTTTCCCAGTAGAATGTTATAAAATTCCTGAATAAAAGACTGGAATTAGCCATGGCTGGTTATAGATAAATACCTTCTGTGTCTGTAAGGTCTAGAAAAGTAGCAGTGATGGAGCATTTTGGCTCCATGCAAAGAGCCTGGCTCCAAAAGGTTCTACAGAATTTCGGCAATGGAAACACTGGAAAGAACCAAGGGCCAGGCTGGAGAGCCAGGGCTCCGACGCAAAACCTCCTGCTGCCTGTGTCCTGGCACTGAAATCCTTCTTTTCAAATCTATGCAAATGTCCTGAAGAGGGTAATGAAATTTTCATTTCTCTCTGCATGGATCAGCTGTTCTCAAGATTCTTCTGCTACAGCAAATGCCACTGCTGGCAGAACAGCATGGAGAGGTTTTTCCAGAATGCCCAAGAAGTCTTCAGAAAAGTCTTACTCAACAGATAAACATAACAGTTTATTCTAAAGCTCCCACCCCCTAAAAAAAGAAAAAGAAAACCACATGGAGTGTAACAATTGCCTGCAGCAGCATGATATACAGGTCGTGAATTTTTAGCCATAGCTATGTAAATATAAGCTGGTGGCTGAGTGTTTCCCGCTGCAGTTATCTCTACTGTAACATTAAGGCATGAACATTGTGCTCTGCCTCCCGTGGTGGGTCCTTGTGAAAATCAAATGAGATCAGGGATGTGGATGGCTCTGAATGGCAGAGTCTTGCGCAGCTGCCTGGGGCGGCATCAGCCACAGGTAGGTTTCAGCTGTGCTGCCAGTGGTCTGTCCCTAGACACTCTGCTGTACCCACATCTGCCTTAGAGTCTTCATTTTCAAAGAGGGGACAGTGACGGTGCCCAGGACAACAGATAAACAAGTCAACTGTAGCAACCACTCAACTCCGTTCCCAGGGCACAATAAACATGCAAACAAGTAGTGGTTACTGTTATTGGGGACTGGCAAAGACCAAAAAGTGACTGGTACCTATTAATGAGTTCAAAGTCTGTTTGATGACTAAGTACCTGAAGGCAAGCTCATCCTATTTGATAGATTATAAGCTTCCTGTAGCTGAGATTTGTTCTCACAAGTACCGTACGATTCTGCTCATATGAGGTACCTAGAACAGCCAAATTCATAGAGGCAGAAAGTAGATAGGTGGTTGCCAGGGATTGGGTGGAGGAGAAAAACGGAAAGTTAGCATTAAATGGATATAGAGTTTCAGTTCTGCAAGATGAAAAAAGCTCTGGAGATCGATGCTGGTGATGGCTGCACAGCATGAATGCACTTAATGCCACTGAACCGTACACTTAAAAATGGCTCAAATGGTAAATTTTATGTTATATGCATTTTACCACAATTTTTAAAAATTTGAAAAAAAAAAAAAAGAAAGTTGGCATTCGGGGAATATGAGGCTACATTTGGTGGCTGATACAAACAACCAGTCATTTGAGTCAACGCTCATTCTAATGCTGGTTCTGTGCCAGTCACCGGGGTGGCACCCTGGCTGGAGGACACCGCACTTGGCAGCGCATAAAGAACACTGGGAAGAAGTCCTGAAGCACCTGTGCTAACTGTAGTTTCCTAAGATAGCGCCTCTGCTTCTTATTTTTAATATCTGCAAGCAATGACACTGACTCAGAATTTATACTTCCTAATTATGACTGAGTTCCAAAAAAATTAAATGCAGATGATCAGGAAGAGAGCGTAAGATGATGTAATGTCAATGAAGAAAGGAGCCATCGTTTTCCTCTGTAAGGACAGAAGAACTGACGAGATCTGTTTCTCCACCTTTGACTCTGGGCCAATTCCTGTGATTATGTAGCCAGCTCCCTGGGGAATTAGAAATGGGCCAGTCCCCGGGCCCAAAGAAATGCTGTACCAAATAGTCAAAGAAGAAGGAAATACACAGAGGGGACAAGTAAACTTAGTGGGATGGATGAATCTAGCAATGAACTTGGAGTCTGAAGGCTGAATTTAAGTTCTGGCCCAAATACTTACTGGCTGTATGACCTTGAGCAAGTCTCTTCCCTTCCAAAAATGAAGGACCTAGAAGAGATGATTGCTAAGGTCCTACCCAGCCTGGTCAAACTGAGATTCCATTGAAACACCCGGCCAAATTTCTGATGACTTGTGCAAATAAACTAGATTCTGATGAACCACTTTCCGAAAGAAATCTTATCATCTATTTAGCCACGCAAGCAAATGTTATGGGCGACTGAGTAAAGAGAAGCTTGTGACCACATCTTCTAACTGAAACAAAACTGTCCAAGAAGATGTTGGTCAAGAAAATTAAAACAAGAATGATTCCATCAGGAATAATCCCTAGGACAGAGGAGAGGTTATCTGTTGTGGGGTTAAAGGGGTGACCCTGGACAGAAGCACGGCCCTCCCCTGTTCCCTGCCCAGTCCCCCAGCTTCCCTCCACCCCACGTACCTGCGTAGGAAGACACGGGGGAAATCTGCAGAGGGTAGAGCTCACTCATGCTGACCGGCTGCTCGTCGCTCTCAGTGGTCACCTCTACAACTTGGCAAATGTCCGGTGGATTAGTGACAATCTCTTGATCCTCAATGTTGCTGTCCAGATGGGATGACGGTCCTACAACTTCAAAGAAAAGAGACGTATCATGCACCGAAGTTGCCTGACTTCACAATTCTAGCACACACTCTAAAGGAAGCGTTCCCCAACACAGCAGGATCACCAGGAGTCAGACTCCTGGTCACCATGCGTCCCCTGCCATGGGGCTGAAGAACAAGCCTTAGCTCTGGGCTAATGACTCCAGAGAAGCAGCCTGGCAGCAACCTGGCTCCTCAGGCCTGTCTCCGGCATGCCTGCCAATGGCAGGCACAGGTGGCCGTGTCCTGTCCAGCTCAGCGGAGTTGCAGACTCAACCACAGCCAAGGCTGCAGGACCAGAGGCCGCACCCAGCCCCAGCCCCAGCCCCAGGGCCAGACGTGACAGTGCTTTGCACCTGACCAATGTCTGTTCTCTGCTCTTGCTCTGAAGGAAGGCACTGTGCTTGTTTTCTGAGTTCCATGGTCCAAAGAGACACTGTCAAACATTAATAAGGAGGAAAGACCACGGACATCTCCCTATTGTGTCCCTTCTAGCCATGGGGTGCCCTGAGCACATTCCCAGCCCTCCTCCTGCTATGTGAGCACACGACCAACTGGCCCCAGTAGCAGAACAATGGGACAGAATCAGCTCCCCAATTCTGGCAAACACTGGTAGCACCAGCTCCCCAGAACACTGATGAGATGAATTCTGACCATTATAGCTCTGAAAACTGCTCCAATTATTTAAATTAAACTTTTCATTTTGAGACAATTATAAATACACATACAGTTATAAGAAATAATATGGAGAGATCCTGTGTGCCCTTTACTCATTTTCTTCCAATGGTAACATGGTGCAAAACTAGAATATAAATATCACAACACGGACATTGACATCAGTAACTATCCACCATCTTGTTCAGACTTCCTCGGTTTCACTTCTACTCCTTGCTGTGAGTGTGTAAGTATGCGTGCTTGCTCTCGGTTCCATGCAATTTTATCACGTATGTACTTTCATGTCACTACAACCACAGTCAAAATACTGAACAGTTCCATCACCATAAATCTCCCTCATGCTATTCTTTTGTAACCATGAACACAAATTGAACCTTCCTTCAATTCCTCCCCTCCACTTCCTTGTCCCTAAACCCTGGCGTCCACTAATCTGGTTCCCATTTCTATGATTTCTGTCATTTCAAGGATGTTACATAAATCGACTCATACAGTAACCTTTTGGGATTGGCTTTTTTTGCTCAGCATTTTTCTCTGGAGAGTCACCCAAGTTGTTGTGTGTATCAATAATTGGTTCCTTTTTTTAACTGCTGAGTAGTTTTCCATGGTATAAATGTACCATGGTCTGTGTAACTATTCATCCATTGAAGGAGGTCTGGGCTGATACTAGTCTTTGGCTGTTACATTAGTATATAAGACTGGTATGAATGTTTGTATTCAGAGTTTGTATAAACCTAAGTTTATATTTCTCTGAAATAAATTCCCAAGGGAGCAACTGCTGAGTTGTATGGTAATTTCATGTTTAGTTTTACAAGAAACTGCCAGGCTGTCTCTCAGAGTCACTGTACCACTTTACATTCTCACCACCAATGTCTGAGTGATCTAATTTCTCCACATCTTCACCAGCATTTGGTGTTGTGATTGTTTTTTATTTTAGCCATTCTGATAGGTAAGTAATGATATTTCACTGAGGTTTTAATTTCAATGCCCATAATGCCCTGCCCTAATTTTAAACAGAACTGACCTTAAACAGCTGTTGGCAGCTGATTGGATGACATGTCCCTGAAAATTGGCTCCAATAAGTAGAGGGGAGGAAAATAGCATGGCAATAACAATGTTTTCCCAAGGTCCTCAAAGCGCTTTGGCACCATAATCTATGTTTTGCTTGCGCTTGCATAAGTTATTTCAACATTTCAACCCATGAGAATGACAGAAAAGTATCATTATCCTGTTATAGATGAAGAAACTCAGGCACAGAGAGGGAGAGAGACTTGCTCAAACTCACACCCCTTGGATTATGTGCTCCACATCCCTGTCATTTTCTCACCCAGCTGCAAAATGCTCAGGTGAGGCAGGAAGGGGCCCCTCTCCAGTCGCCTTGAGGAGTCAGCCTCATGGACCCACTTGTCTCGTTTTAATCACTCAAAAGTTTTTTCTTTGCTGAAGTATCTTTGTTTATAAATAATCTCCTGTTTCAATCGCTTTTCGTGGGGTGCTAAGAAAATTATCCTATTTCTACACAGGGAAGGTTTTAGAGGATGGGGGAATGCGTGCGTTATTTAATAAAGAAAGAAAGGGCACAAAAGAGGCCAGGAAGGAGATGTGGAGAATTCAAAAGCCACAGCACAGAGAATGGGAGGGAAATTGGATGCTGTTTAGGTTTTTTCCTGGCAGGAATATAAAATTAAAGAAGAGGCAGGCAGGCTATATATGGCAGGCAGTCTCCCAAATCCTTATTTCCTCCTCTCGACTATCCTATTTGAGTGTGAGGGCATCAATTATGCAGTTCACTACACACAGACTGACACTGACCGACAATAACCTCTCTCAAGTGTCTCCTGTCTCTGCCCCCAAGTAAAACAGAACGGCAGGTAAACGAGATAATGTCCTATCCCAAGTCCTAAGGAGCAATTGGTGGGTGGAAATCGAAACCAAATGGGTGTGTGTGTGTTTGAGGAGGGAGGGGCACGCACGGTGCCTCGCATACCAAGGCAGTAAACGTCTTATATAAATTTGATTTCAATCAAAGCCACTTTCATTCACTTCCAATCCTTCAAAACGCATACCTTGCTTGCACTGTTCTTCCCAGCAAAGAGGCAGCAAGCTCGGACCATACACAGTGGTCAAGTACCCTCCTCCTCACATCCCTTTGTTCTGACCAGGAATTCCTTCCCTCCCTGCTTTTGCTGGGACACTCAACTCAGTTACTGCGCTGACAAACACGGACAGAGCGCCCGCTTTGCGCCAGAGTCACCAATGGTAGAGGGAGAGGAGGGCCAGTGCGGCCAAGGGCCCGGTCTGTAAGAAGTTAGTCTACACGGCTGCCGCCAGCACCCAGCAATCCAGACAGTCAGCTGGAGGCAGGAATAAGTGAAAAGGAAAAAAAAAAACAACAACAAATGAAGGGGGCCAGGTGATGAAAGCCGAGGAAGTGGAGTATTTTTTCCAGTTGGAGGAAGCGAGGGCTTCAATGAGGGAGTGACATGGGGTGGGGAGGTGGGTGACAAGCAGTGTTCAGGGTGCCCCTGTCTTCTGGGACCCCCTCCCAACCACGCCAGCACAGACCGACCGCTCTCCTCTGAGCCCCTCTCATGACCGGTGCCCGCTGCTGCCACAACTACACTGTGGCACGACCTCGTGACGCTTCTGGACTTTCTGCCTAGTGTGGCTGGTTAACCCCACAGATCCTTGCTGAACTTTCTATGTGTATGTCCTATCTCCTCAACCAAAGCACGGCTCCGGAGCGCTGAGGACCTGCATGAGAACTGTCACGCCGGGTCCAGGCATGACACGCGTGCTCACGGCTCACACCGGAGAGGCGCTCAGCGCACGTCCCCTGAATGGACGGATGCAGGAAGGGGCCCAGGCTCACGGACGGGACCCAGAGTCCTGCAGGAGTTTGTGACAGCTTGCAAATACAGAGCATGACAATCAATGCGTTCTAGAAAATGTCACGCCTCTGGCCAGTGGACTTTTTCAAAGCTAGGTGATGTGCTAAAGATCCAGCAGGTAGTGGGGGTCGGGGGCTGGGGACTGGAGAGGAAACTCTTTGGGGTGATGAAAATGTTTTCTTGAATACAGTAGTGGTTATACAACTGAGTGCATCCGTCAAAATTTATAGAACTGTATACCTAAAAGGGATTTGTTTTGCCATATTTTACTTAATATACATGTCTTAAAAAGAATAAATAAGCACCTTTACCCAAATTTTAAGTGTATCCTGAATGCTGGTGACCAGGACAGGAAAAAAAAATCAGTTTTTGTTTTCTGGGCTACAATCTGGATGCTCAGTTAATACAATTACATTACCTCTAAGGTCAAAGTTCCCGCAGAGGAGCCTGCTGGTTACGCCTCGGCGAGGGACGGCCACTTCTCTGCATCCAAACATCGTTCAGGGCACTTTAATAACTTTCCAACTCACCTGCCAAAGCCCATGAAGGAAGCAGGGAAATCCCAGCATCTGAGAGGCTCTCTGGGTGTGCTTAGACACTGTCACTGGTCAGCCTCAATCAATCTCTCTCTCCCCCTGTGACTTGCTTTCCCCGAACCACTAAGTAGCAGCGACACTGACTCCTGACATGCAAAGACACACGCATAACACACCTACCCGCTCAGCACACAGGGTCAGGAGAGACACTCCTCTGGGTGCTGAAGGGTGTCCTGACTGCTGAACGCTAATGACAAACGTAACTTCCTGAGCACAGACCTGTGCCTCCCCCCTCTCCTTGACAGACCCGGCAACCCTGTGGGGAAGGCACAGTCGTGATGCCGGTTTCAGACACGATGAAACGACAGCATCAGCGAGAACTAAGTAACGAGCTCAAGGTCAGACAGCCAATAAGTGGCAGAATCAGCATTCAAGATCAGCCTTACCTGGCCCCAAATTTCAACTCTTTGTAAGACGGTCTCCCTAATAGTAGTAGAAGAGTTAACAAAGCCCAAACCAAGCTCCCGTTGGCTTTCTAAGCCCCTCTTAGGAGAACACCCTTTGAATCTCACCTTAGTGAGTCTCTGGGCTCATAACCAATAGTGGCATTTCAACAGTTCTCTGTTGGGTGCCAAGGAAATTCTCAAATGGTCAGAAGAACGAGAAATCCACTAAGCTCCTCCAGCTTATTAAAGTCAGCACATCTGAAAAGAGTCACCCACAGGAATGTAATTTTATCTGAACCTCACTGCTGAGAATTATAACAATATTATTCATGGCCGGTTACTGATGAACCAGTTTGATTCCTTAAAAGGTCATTCTTACTTTATTAACCATTGTTGACTTAGTGGGGCCCCACCTGAGGAAGCAGCTCGCTCCCACGCCTGGGGAAAGAGCTGCAAAGCGGAGATTGCTGCAAACGCAAAGGTCCTGGGAGGTGGCTTTGGTTGCACCATTTCACAGTTGAGAAAAGCTAAAACCCAATGCCCAGGGTCGCCCAGGAAGCTGCAGAGTCCAGAATGAAACGTATTAGCAGGGCATGTAAAATCAGACCATCAGCATGGGGTCATAAAAGGAAATTTTCCCTGACTCTATCTGAAAGTTTGAGTAAAACTGTTAATACCAGCCCTGATGACACAGCCCAGCTGGAGGCTACGTCTCTCACTCAAATACATTTTAATAGGACGTTGGTAATACCACAGCCATAAAGTATCATTTTACCACCTTCCAGCCACAGAGGGATTTGTCTGAACATCTCCTTTGATTCTCACATCTGTAAGGTGGGCAGGATCAGTATGATCATTTCCATTTTATATATAATTTTATACATTTCCATTTTATAAATTATAATAATACATGTTCTTTCCAATTTCTATGCAAATTGCATCTCGGAGGGATTAGGGAGTTTGCCCCAAATCACGTGGTAAATAGCAAACTTTAGAATTAGGTCTAGAACCCAAGTCTTTAAACTTTTAATCTGATGTTCCTTCTTCGTAAAACACAGCTACGGTTTGGCCCAGGTGCTCAAGGTCAAAGGACGAAGAGACAGGCACCTCCAGAGACTGGATTTCTGTCCCTGCACGGGCCAGACAGCCCCCAACGCAGGCTGCCCCCTGCTCGCCAGGGCAACAGAGGGGCAGGAGGAAGCACGAGCATGGCTGGGGCAGTAGAAACTCTCCCCCTCACCCCCCAGGAGAAAACAGCACCACAAGCACTACACAAAGGCGAGCAAAGGATGTGTCCCAGAGAAAACTCGGGAGAGAGTCAACCAACGTCTCAAGGACCAACGACCGGGAGCAGGAATCTGAGCAAGAGCCTCGGCATGGCAGCTCACACTCGCCACCGGGACTCGCCACACGTCCATGCCGCTCCGCACTGTGTGCACAGAGCCTCCGAGGCTGCTCCACACGAGCAAAACCCACCGCCAACCTCACTTTCTCTACCGACAGCCACAGGGAGGTGACATGATTCAGAATCCCTCAAATTCCAAAGCAGATATAAAAGCGGTGGGCAGGGCCCAGGTCATGCCAGGCCCGGGAGACAAGAGGGACTTTGTCTCGGGGGCAGCGGTGACACTGGCATTTTAAAAAGATCTCTCTGTGTGAAGGGCGAATGGGGAGGACAGAATGGAAGCAAAGCCCAGGTGACAGCAGAGGGAGGACTAGACACAGCGCCAGGAGCAGAAGGGGACGGAGGACTTCAGGAAGACAGTGAGGAGACAGGAGGGTCCGAGAGTTCATTGTCAGCGGGGTGGGGGCGGCAAGGGAGGAGGGAGGAGAAAAATATACAGCCCCACAACAGATGACAGCTTTCTTGAGTAACTAAACATTTCTTAGTGTTGAATAACCAGCAGCCAAACTCCACTACCCAGGTCTCCGGTCTGGCACCTGTGACCGAGGAGCCGACCCACAGCCTCACCTTGGTGACCAGGTCCAGACTGCACAAAGAAAAAATAAAGTATACATAAAAAAAAATAAAGTCCTGAGTCCTGTGTCTGGGAGTACATACTGTGACATCCGTGTTCCCACCTCACGTGGAGCTCCATGTTGCTGAGTTTTCTAGGGGTCCTGATAAAACCAGGTGCCCTGTCTGCAGCCCCTGCTCCTAGGGGTGAACCACTCAGGCCTCAGTGTTCCCGGGAGCAGGCACAGGGCACGGCGATGAGCAGGGAAGACCTCTTAAGAAGGGTTCCCCCCAGCTAAGGACCCACCCCGGAGCTACTTCTTATCTTACTGGTGAAATCTCATATCTTATATTTTAATTTTTTCTTTTTCTTTTCTACACAAATCTCAAGCAGTGTATATCTTAATCACTAGGAGAAATGGCAGCAAGAACAGGGAACAAAGGAGATGGGAAACGGCGAAGACGCAGTCCCACTGCCCTGCGTCGCCTCTGCCATCCAGAAGCCACTGTGGACTCTGGTGCCAACCCTGAGTTAGAGCCACCAGGTCCGCACGGGGACCTGCAGTCCGTCTCTGTCGTGAATCTGCTCTCCTGAGCCTTCAGAAGCCCCTGTTGCTACTCGAGTTTCTAGGCTTGGCTTAAAAAAGCTGCTTTAGCTTCACTTTAGATGTAAAGTCAGTCAAATTTGGATGTAATGATCAAAAAAAAAAAGAATGTCCGATGAGAGTGTGCACTTGGGGCAGCCAAAATTAAGACAAAAATCCCAGATACACGAACCCCTAACTGCAGTATGTCTCGTCACCACGGCGGCTTTATTTACTGCAGAGCGCTGAATAGTCTCCCTTGTTTCACAGTGATCTTTGCTTCGTGGAAGGGTGGGGCTGCCTTTTATCGAGAAACACAATGGCTCTGAAGTACCGCCACGGAGGCGCAACGTACAGAGCGGACAGAACGTCTGCACCTGCAGGCGCCTGCCACTAGCCCCGAGATGGGGTTGGCGCAGAACGGCAAAGCCACTGCGAGCCTGGGCAAGTGGCCAGCAGTGTACTGTTGGGACAGCTCAACATGTTGCTGGCTTCTTCCGTTTCCTAAAAACAGAAGTCACTGCACACAACAAAAATTTGATGCTAAAGAAAAGCAAAAGCAAAAATAAGGAGTTCCCCCCCCCCTTAAAGGGAAAGCAGGGATAGGGCTTTGGGGCACTAAGCCTGTGTGCTTGACCGCACAGAAGAGACGGGACATTAGAAGACACGTCTTCAGCACGGCGACACCGCACTCGTCTTGGGCGGGCGCGGCTAGCTCAGTCTGGAAGGGCATTGGGGAAATGTCGTGCCTCCGAGAGCCCCCCAGTCTGAATTTGGATGCTTTGTTATTCTCTGTCATCTCTCCTCTCCTTAGCAGCACTGACCACAAATGGTGATGCCTCAGTTATCTGGGGCTTCTCTGTTTGCTGTGTGTCCTTCCAAGAAAACAGGAATTGGGCCTCCTGATCTATTTCCTGCTCACAGCACTGAGTCTAGGATTTGGAAGGCGCTCAAAAATATCTGTTGAATCAGAGTGTGACCTCGGGCAATATGTCTCTGTGCCTCAGTTTCTCTGTCTGTAAAACGAGCACCCCCTCTGTCTGCCAGTGAGAAGCCGCTGAGAGTACGTGAGAGGACAATCTTCCGTTTCCTTGGCTCCCGAGTTTAATAAAGAGCATTTCTGTCCATGTGACCAAACAGTGAAAGGCTGGACACGCTAACCATGAGCCACTGGGAAACAAGCATCCTTTATTAAAATAATGCGTTCGATAAAATTTGGACTCAGTCAAAAGGCCGCACTCAAGGATCCAGAAGGCCACATGTGGTCCCAAGGCCCCCTGCTGACCCCTCAAGCTCCTTTTTCTGATCTGCTAATCCCTTTGTTTTTCAGCCCTGAAATCTGGGGACCGGGACTCGCATTTTGAGATGGCTCCAAGACCTCCTCCCACTGACTTAAGTCATTTGAAGATCCCTGTTTTACAAAGTTTAGACCCCAGAGGGCTGCTCGTGTGTATGAAAAATGAGATGTCAAAAGTTTACCTATGATGTTCACCGTACTGTCCACTTCATTTTTTATAGCTGAAGTCAGGACCGCATACTCGGGAGAAAGATCACTTACTCCATTACTAAGCCCCAGAGATGACTCAACTGGTTCTTGCTAGGAAGAAGAAAAGAAAAAAGAATTGAGAACACTTCCTTTTCCCTCCCTTTACTTAGCTGAAACGCTACCCTCTGTCTACTCTCTTTGCTGCCAGGGTCACTCATGTTCAGCTTAGCCGAGTGCGCCGCCCACTTCTTTACATGGGGCTGGTGTCAAAGCAGCATGTTTCTGCTGCGGGGTACTTGGTTTCTTCCAGCTTCCTTCCAGGAAATGGCACCGTGGGTCTGCCTCTGCCTCGCCTGCAGGAAACGCCTCCACCTGCAGACAATAGCTGGGGCCGCTGCGTGACTGTGTGCGTGCAGCACCGCACTGCAGGGGTTCGAGGCCGCCTTCCCCGAGGGAGTGCTGGGAAGAATGAACACCTGGCTGGCTCACCGAGGGAGGGCTCCTGCCACCTCCTTCACAACTGCCTCTTAGGAAAAGCTCTGCCTCAGTGACTGGCCCCAGACAGGAGGCCGGAGGAGGCTGTAGGTGAATTCTCCCCCGGGTACTGTTCGCCGTGGGCTCCGGGCCTGCCAGCGTCTTGCGCTGGGTGGCTGCCTGAGTCCAGTCGGGCACCCCCACCCACCGCTTCACGCAGATGCCCTTCGGCGCCTGCATGTCCCACCCAGCCCGAGACGCTGCAGGTTCATACCGATGAAATAATGAGGGCAAATCCCTTTTTCGTACTGAAGCTCTAAATTCTGGCTTTACCCAAGTGCACCTGCGCCCTCCACTCCGAAGGACCCGCCAACTCTGGGGAAGCCAGTCCTGAGGGACACAGTGACTGTCAGCATTTTGACGAGGGAGCTTCCCCTCCAGGTAAGCTTGCACCTGCTCCTGTGACAGCGATCACATCAGACCAAAGCCACACAGGACGGCTCCCAAGGAATCCACGAGGGAAAGGAGGGTGGGAGGTGGGAGGAACACAGCACTGGGAGCAGAGGACCATGTTGGGGGATGTGATGGTGCTCTGCAGAGTCCGGATGGGGGACAGCTCTAAGGCATGGTGGGGGTTCTTACCAATTCATTTAGGTACTACCTGGAATCAATGATGAGCCCCCCAAATCCTGGAGAAGTCACATACGGTAGGAGGGAAATAACCTTCTCCCTTTTTGATCCCACTTGGCAAACTCCCACCATAAAAACCACAACCTCGAAGGCATCACGTCACTGGACAGTTCAGTTTTCTAAGCAACAACACACTGCATGGTTTACCGGACGTATCAAAGGCCAAACATAAGGAAGGGCCCAGAGCAGCCCCGCTGGGCGGAGTTTTTACTCCTTGCTGCCCCCACATCTTGCATTTTTCTCTGTTTTACAAGTTCCAAATAAAAAAGCCTGCCCTTTTTGGGAAAAAACTCACTTTCTTGTGACCTGAGTCACCAGTTTTCCCCTCTCTTTACAGCCAAACTTCTGAACCAGCGTCTGCTCTTCCTAACTGCTCGCTCCCCTGTCCCCTGCCCGCACCGTGGCCTGCCTTCCTCCACGCGGGGACAGTTACCAGCGGGCAGCAAGACCCCACTTGGGGGCGAAACCTGGTGACCCCACTTCTCACTAGTTGCAGGACCTTATTTAACCTCTTTACGCTTCTCTCAGGGCACTGGGTACAGTTATAAACTGAGGACAATAATAGGATCCACATCATGGGGATAATGGGAAGATTAAATGAGATAAATACGTACATGGCACTTCTTATTAAATAAGTGCTCACTGTTGTCAAAGGTCACGAATAAAACTCTGCTCTCCCAAATCCAACGACCTATTCTCAAGTCCCTTCCTCGACACCATGCTCTGACATGGACGGGGAGGGCCGTACCCTCCCGTCTTGACAGCCTGGATTGTCGGATACTGTTTCATCCTCCACCTGTCCGATGGCAACTCCCTTTCCCGATGGCTTCGTCAGTCCCCCTTTTGGTCCTCCTCCTCCCCAGAGACGCCCCACAGTTCATTATTGTACTGCCATCTCCTCCACTCCCTCAAAAGGAGCGAAGCACAGGTATCTGGAAGAATTATGGAAAGATCTGCTCGTCTGTAAGGGTTTCTTCTGCTGTGATATGGTATTTTTTTTTTTTTTTTTACCCATTCTGCTTCTAGGTTTCTTATAAAAGTAACGAGGCAGTCAGACATGCACATACTTAAAAACTGAAATGAATTCTGATTTCTCAGTTGAAGCCCTCTATGTGCTTCACATGATTTACAGTTTAATTAGTGGCAAGTAATACTTTTATCACTTTACACTTGAGAAAACTATGACTCAGAGATGAAATTAATTTTCCAAGATTGCACTGCTCTTAGCCCGAGGAGACACAGGAACTGAACTCAGTCCATGGTCATGCAACGTGGTCCAAGTCCAAGGGCTATCTGTTTTAATAATCCCTGTACCCTGCACTACAGGTGGCTGAGACAGGCCGTTCTGAACACTGGTTACTCCTCTCACACCCACTTCAAAAACACCTGTCACTGCAGAGTCTTTGGTGGAAACCCTCTCACTGGCCCTACCTCTCTGGAAGGACAGTGCTGCCAATGGTACAACCGTAGCCAGCGCCTTCCCGAAACGTCTCCACCCACGGTGCAGAACAGTAGGCCCGGAGAGAAGGGTCTTCACTAAACTCATCCGCAATTTTGGAAACGATCAGAAGTAGAGATATCTAAACCTAAACTATATTAAAAACCCAAGGACCCAAAATTAGGAAAAAGGGTGCACAGCTCTTTATGTAACATGTGCACAGAGATCCTGCAGGCCATGGACGGCCTTTGCCTGTGGCCTCTCCTGGTCCCCTCTGCCCCACTGCCGCCTGGCTCAACCGCCTGCCACTTGGCTGCATCATAACCTGGCCTGGTTAATCCTGAACCAGCCTCTTTCTCTTTCCCTTCTCAGTTCAGGTAGCGACTCTCCCGTAAGTCAAGTAGCCCCGAGCTTTCTTGGCTCTAATCCCATTGCCTCACTGCAAAGATAACCCAAGAAAAGACTGTGTTGGGTCCAGAGTCCTCCACGATAAATGAACTCTGCCAGATATTTACACTCAAGCACCTTTTCTATAATTATAGAACCCAACATTTGGTTCACAGTTTAGGGGATTTTAAGCAAAAGCAATCTGGCATAAGAGTGAGTACAAGGGCAAGGGTGGCTTCCTTTAGACCTGCAAGATAGCAAACCTTTGGTTGGTCTCAAATCTGTGTTCGCAGGGTAGGCTTGGGGTGGACAGAGTTAGGGGACAGCAGAGGGACTCTGCCACCAGTGCTCCTCATCCCTCTGCTCCAGCCCATGCTGTCTCATCCCTACACCCTGGTCTAGAACTCTCTCCCCTGAGGCCCAACATAGTGGGTCCCCAAATCACCTCCAACCCCCCAAATGCCCTCATGCATCAGTGCGAAGCCAGTCTCCTTGAAGCCAAACCTAAGGTCATCAAATTTAAGGGCATCTCTAGGACTTCTGCTAACAAAACCTCCAGGCTGATGGCTGGGCTTCATAAAGTAGACCAGGGAATCCGACCTGGGAGGACACATGCACCTCACCACGAAGGCCAAAGTGCCACTGAGAACAGAGGCTCCAGTGAGACAGGCAGCAGCCTCCTGCCCAGGGCTAGAAACACCGTCCTCCCCCTCCCTTCCCGGGATTGGGCCATCCTCGTTCTTCTCCTCCCTCTCTCGCTGCGACTTCCCTTTGTCTCCTTGGCTCCCTCTTCTCTCTGTCTCCACCTGGGGTCTGTGTCTCCTCTCATACAGCTTCTCTCTTGGAGAAGGCACCCGTCTTTGAAGGCTCTGATACAGTTGTGAGTGAATGATCACCCATTTGCCCTGGGAGCACTTGCCCGAGCGCTACGCCTGGCAGGTCCAACTTTCTACCCAACTTCTGCTCTCGGGCATATCAGACTCAACAGGTTCAAAGTGAAACTCACTCTCCTGCACAAAAGGAGCCCCAATCCCAACGTGCCCTCTCTGAAGGGGCCTCCTCTTCAATCCACTACCTTCTCGCTCTGTCTCTCCCTCCATTCTCTGGAGAAAGGTCCCCTCTCTCCTCTCCGGCGTCCACCATTGACCATGTTCCACGGTAGCCTCTCCTCCCCGCCATCCCTTCTACCACTGCGAGACAGCCCTCCCTTAGGTATCCTCTCCACCCTGCTCCACGTCTGCTCCCAGGAGGTCCAGGGGGCCTCATTTCATAAAACCATCCACAGAGCTCATGTAGCCCACCAGTTTCCAAACTGTGCTCCGAGCTCCTGCATGAGCCACCACAGGAACCAGCACAGGCAGGGCGAGCCCGGCAGCCTGCTTCATCCAGGGCAGCTCTCGTTCTATCCGCTTTCCAAGTGGGCTGCCGGCACGTGTGTTCATCTCATTAAACTTTAAAAACTGAAGACGTCTTCCAACCAATGAAGGGATCACTCCAGTAACAGTCCCCCAGGGAGTGCACCAGCTCCTGCCACCGCTAGAGCCCACAGCTCTGTTAGAAAGCTCTGCAGAACCAACTTGTGCTTTTCTGTAACTGCGACCCATAGGTCTGTGTTCAGACTGATGCAGACCAGGCCTGCTCTTTACCGAGTGACTTTAGAGGCTCTTCTTGATTATATTTTCCACCACAACACTAACACTTTGATCTGGAAACATGTTTCCAGTTTCAAAGCATGTATCTTTCATCTGCAACAACCCCCTAAAGCAGGAAGTATCATTTATATCCACCCTAGCTACATGTCTTTCTGTCCCATTGTTTCCTCACGCAAACTCCTGCTCTAACTCTAAATCAGCCAGTTTCCTGATTTGCCCAGGAAATACCAACAACAGCTCTAATCCCCAGCCTCCCATTTACGATGCTCCTGCAGTGGGGCACGGTCACCATTTTATGCTGTCCACGCCCACCCCAAGGCCTGGCTCGGGCCCCAGAGCTTCCAATACGCTGAGAGGCACCAGGTGAGGTGAAAGAGCGTTGGCTCCAGGGTTGAATGGACTTGGATTCAAATCCCAGCTCCGGAAAGCAGTGCAGCCCTGGGGAAATAAACCAACCTCTCTGTGCCTCCATTTTCTCAGTCTGTAAAAGGGAGATGTCCTGCCCACTGCAGGGAAATCCCACTGGAACTTGGTATGGGCTCAGAAATGTCAGCTACCATCCCTCTGTGTACATACTTCCGTCCTTATTGTCCTTGGCCTTGTCAAGTCCCGGGGAGCAACCTGCTCCACGATAGCTTTTGAAACACATATATCCACTGATGATGTCCAATCTAGTATTGCTCAGTATTGGTTTTCTTGTTCTTATTTCCTTAGATAGCCAGTTATCCCACACAGGAGGGGCTTAGTTGATGTAAAACATGGCTCACTGAGTACAAAGGATATACTCACAAAAAGAGTATCAAAGGGTGCAGAGGCAGAGTTTCTGCACCTACTACATGGTCAAGTGGCCTTGGGTCTTCCAGTCTCAGGGAAACTATTTGCTGGGAGAATCACACAGCATGGATATAAATCATCTGAGTGACCCAAGAAAACTTCAGACACTTGGCCAGCATGTTCTAAACATTGTTGGCTAATTAAAACTCCACCTCAACTTGAGTATCGGGAAAAGCTTGCTTGAACAGCAAGTTTTCGTGCCTAGTTACTGCACACAAGGCAAATGTCAGCAGAAGAAACCTACCAAGTCTATCCAGTTACATGTTTGCATAGGACATATTATCTCAGAGTTTAGGTGTTTAGATATACGATAAAAAGTAATGTATTAACAGCTCGGTAAGGATAAAGTCCTTTAACTGTACAATTCCAGATGCCCCAGGGAGTTAACTTTTGAAACACTTTCTAGATACATTGAGTCAACACGATGGCTTGAGCAGCCATGAGCCACAGAACTTGGGGGTCTCGCTCCCCCATGTTCTACTTGCAGGCATGATGCAAGATTTCAATTCAAGAGTTAGGCTGTGCTCCTGTCTGATGAATCTCACCTGCCCCTACTGAAGGGAGTTTCAGGTATTAACCCTATCTTCACTGCAGAAGGATTATACACACTTTGCTAACATAGAACCTCACCCACGTGGTTTCCCCTAAGGGGAATCCCTCACTTATTTCCCTGGGCAAATATGGCAAAATCCAACCAGGGCTGTGCTTTCCACAACTTGCTCGCGTTGGCAGCCACATGAAGACACTGCCAATGCTCACGTGACTGCAGACACCCTTTACTTAGGAGAACACCACATGTCACCCATTCTAAGACACACATTTCCTCACACTTCCACAACCCCGAAATAGCATGGGCCTCTATAATCAATAATGTGCCAGGGTTCCTTTGGAAGCAGGTTTTCTTTCTTAGAGACACATATAATAACGGTGCATCTTATAATCACTGGCATCTGATAGCCAGTGGAACAGAGGAGATAAATTTGAGCAATGTGTGTTGAAAACTGAACATCTGTTACTCCATTCTTATTTCTCCACTGACTGCGATTATCAAATGAACTCTTCATCCTAATGTAAAACCCCTCACTCCCACCCCTCGTATGATATTTACTTATGCATCTATTTAGTCCACAAAATGCTTTTACATCTATCCAGTTATCAAATATGTGTTCATTATCTGTTCTGTGCCAGGCACTGAGCTAGATGCTGTGAAAATAGCAGTAAATATGATACAGTCACACTTCAGATCATAGCTAATTCTTCAAAATCACGTATTTGTGGGGAAGCCATACTTTTCTTTCTGAACAACACTAATCAAAGCATAGGCCTTAGCCGGGCATGGTGTCATGCCTGTAATCCCAGCACTTTGGGAGGATAGCTTGAAGCTAGGAGTTGGAAACCAGCCTGGGCAACATAGCAAGACCGCGTCTCTACTAACAATTAAAAAATTAGCTGGCATGGTAGCGCATCCGTAGTGTCAGCTACTCGGGAGGCTGAGGTAGGAGGATCACTTGAGCCCAGGAGTTCAAGGCTGTAGTGAGCTATAATTGTGTCTCTGCACTCTGGCCTGGGCAACAGAGCGAGACCCTGTATGTCTTTAAAAAAAAAAAAAAGAAAGAAAGAAAAGCCTTAAAAAATCCAAACTGTAAGCAACTTGGTATGGCTAACAAGTAGGTTTTTTCTATTGTAAGAAAAAATAAATTTTTTTAAAGTAATGTAGGGGAAACCTATAGATTAAGAAAAAATAATTTTTTTTAAAGTAATGTAGGGGAAACCTATAGATTAAAAAGAAATACTTAAAAGACATATCCAAAAATCACATGTGGATCTTATTAGGATTTTAATTCAAGTTAACAAACTACACAAAATTTATAACATTTATGAGATGACTGGAAATCTGAACACTGCCTGGATATTTGATGATACTAAGGAATTACTGTTAATTTTTTCAGGTACAATAATGATACTGTGGTATTTTTAAAGAGCACTTATCTTTTAAACATACACATGAACTATTATGGAAGAAAGTATTTGATGTTTGGAATTTGCCTCACAAGAAATTGTTTCTGTTAAGCTAAAAATAGTTGAATGTCTGAAATTTCATATTAGAAGTTGATAAGTGGATGAAGGCATTGAAATTGGGGTGATGGGTCTAAGGGGTAAATGTCACTTATTTGTCTCCTTTCTATGTGTATCAATTTTTTCCACCAAAAAGTTAAAACAAAATTAGACCTTTAATACTGTGCAGTATTTAAAATAAGTCAGAAATCAAAAATATTGAAAATGAAACTGAAAGTATCGCTGCTAAAATACTCTGCCTAAAATATTTATTTTCCATTGTAGAGGTACATATCTCTGAAATTTTAACAATTTATCTAAGTTTTCCTTCAAAATCTAATGACCTTCTCAAGTCTTAACTTTCCATCTGAAGTAAGTTATTTTGTGTCTTTCCCTGGCTATTTCAACTTACTGGCTTGTTTTTAAATGTTGTGCTGTAACAACAGCGTGGTTCTTTTTTCTGTAATTGTTCCTCTAAATCATAAATCAGCATGTTCAGCATCTTCAAGTTCAGTCCCAAATAACCTGGTGACCCTGGACGTGTGTCACTCAGCTCTCTGGAGTCTCAGTTTCCTCATCTGCACACAGAGGCTGGTGAGCCAGATAACCTCTCTGGTGGTAACCATGGGCCTGTGACTGCAGGGCCTGTTCTTTGCTTAGCAACGGAAGCTGGTCCCCAGTTTTTCATGGGGTACACCTGGCTCTCCTCTCACCATCTAACAAGGGCTGCCTAATCGATGCATAAAGATCGTCAAACTGCAGGGAGTTCAGACAGCACAACCTACTGAGAAGCTCACACACACACACACACACACACACACACACACACGCGCGCGCACACACACACGCATCCCTATGGAAAACCCTCGGGAGGTGTGAGAGATGGTTCCAGAGTGCAGCCAGAAAAAACTACTGAGAGCTGCAGTAACACAGTGCCTGAGCTGGCCACTGTATGCCCGACATAGTGGCCTGTGATGGAACAGATATAAAATATAGTTAATACATTTTAATAGAAGTATATAATATCCAAGATATATTAAAATATATGTAATAGCCTGCAAATATACTTAATAGTGTCAGACATAGGCTGGTTGCTTGGAGCTTAGCTGGAACTAAGTGACCGGCTGGCTACAGTCGTGGTGACCAGATGGAGGCTTCAGACGGCCAAGCTCAGCGTGAGTTTATGATTTCATTCATAAATTTCTCAGGGAAATTGGAGTAAGCAGGGGGTATGTGTACCTGTGTCTGCAAGAAGCTACATGCTGAAGAAGAGCCATGTAAGGTAGATAGGGTACGACAGCCAAAGAAGAAATATTAAACACTCTGCAGAGGTCAGATTACTTTTTATAAAACAGAATATGGATCATTAATATGGTCACAATTTCGGCTTACTCTTCAAACAACCCAAGATTACCTTGATGTGCTTAACTTTGTCCTCTTTTTCTGTCTTTGGTTTCTTTCCTGTGGCAACAAAAATGTAGTTTGGATTAATTCATGAAGGACCTACAGAGAAACATTTCCCCTAAATTAAACTCTTTCCGAAACTCTCAGTGAACCTGTTGCTTTAATCTATATGTGACCAGAATTCCCAAGGGATCATTTACTGCCTTTAGGGACTTGAAAGTCACGTGTGCAAACTATGTTAAGGGCAAAATCATCACCTACAGTATGAACAGGGTGTTCAACCCTTGAAGTGACTACAGATACAGAAATAAAGAAATCACAAAAGCACTATGTATATATTAAGTGACCAATTTTTTAGCCTTTAAACATTTTTACCTTTTTTAGAAGGTCGCTCAGATAAGGGCAACATCCGGTATACTCTGAAGGCATTGTTTCCTTTCTTTATACTTTTATCCTTAACTTCTTCAATATCAGGCAAGGAGTTCATGGCACATCGAAAATTCGCCTTCCATGTTTTTGGATCAGGTTTATCTACTCCTGGTTGATGCTTTCCTACCAAAATAGCCAAAGGTTAACAAAAAGAGGGGAAAAAAAATAGATACAGAGTAAAAAAATTCCTGGAAACACAGCATTGCCGGCCAGGTAGTACAGAGAAACCTTTTCATTCCAGGCTATACCTAAAGTAACCAACCGTCCTGGTTTGCCTGGAACTGGGAAGATTTTTGGGATGTAGGAATTTTATTTTTAAAACCTGAACATTTCAAGGCAAACTGGGACAAGCTAGTCACCCTGGTTCCACCAAACAGCTTGACAGAAAAATTTCATGGTAGAAGAATGGAGCATTCTGTAAGTAACCCAGAAGACTGGAAGGCCAACAAACAGAAGGAACTCGAGTGCCTCTTTTCCCCCTGACTCTCAAACATTAAGTAAAAAGTCCAGTCCTGAAAATAGTTCCCTACTTAAATTTTGTAATAAGTAAATATACTCCTGATGACTGTTTTTTGGGGAGATTTGGTCAACCCGAGTTTATAGCCCTAGAAGAAAATGAGTTTATATTCCCCTGGGGAACTTATCAGAATGCCATTATTTATGAGAAATTTAAGGACTAAGATTCTATGGGATGGGTGGAACATCACTTCTCAGTGGTATAATTTGTACTCCATATGTCCTGGATGTGCCTAGTCTAGGTCACAGGTTTTTCAGAGCTCCCTTCATGAGGCCATGAGCCAGGATATTTTCTATGTGTAATAAAAATAAACAAATGATAGCACCTGCCTTATAAATGATGCGGGGAGTTTTAATACCTGTATGAATTGCCCAGTTTCTAAAGAGTGGTGCGTCTTTTTCCACATCCCACCCATGTCTAGCTGCATGCATCCAGGGGATCTGAAAAATCTTCTTTTCCTGAAAAAAGAAAACGACAAGTAAACCATAACGGCAGTCCTGGGTTTTGGCCCACCATTGCAGAGGGTTCTTCAGGCCTAGCTAGTAAGATTCCCCACTAAGCATCACTGAGTTTGTTGACTGTCTACAGGAAAATCTACTGTAAGTCAAACCCACTTCCTCACTGGGTCCCAAATCTTGACAGTCTACCCCAAATGAGATTCAGAATCTCTCCAAGTCGGGCAGAGCAGGGATGCATTCCAAGGTCAATGGTGATGATTTGGGATATGCCAGTGTGTTCCATTATCCATGCCTCTTTTATAGGACTACAGATAACTGAAATTCTAATGCTTTTTCTTATAATTTAATCCCATCATTTGGTAAATAGTAACTCCGGCTAAAACTTAAGCAACTTTCCAAAATAATATCCCTTTATGGTGCTAAAGGGAAGTCAGGTGTATCAGAGGCCACTGTGACAGGAAGCGAATACCTCCATCTGCTTGGGTATCCAATAGGAACAGCAGGTTGCTGTCTAATGTTCCAATCCTACGGCTCTACTGCCCTGCATCACATAGCAAGAAGTGCAAACAAAGATGTGTAGAATATGGGATGACACCCATCTTCCGGAGAAAAGGCCCTCAATATAATCCTTATATCAGACTCTCTCTTTCTTGCAGGCCAAGAGGGTAATTAACTCAAAATTGCTTAAATGGACCCTGGCAAACACACGACTAGAAACTAACGCTTTAGAAACAAAGTCACACTCATAGTAAAACTACTATTTGAAACTGGTTCACCCAGCTCTTGTGACAGTTCCAGTGCTTACTCAGGGCCCTGTGGCACTGTACATTTGACTGTGCATGTCCACCTGGGGCTCGGTTTTGTTTCTTGCAACAACCTAGTGAGCTAAACATAAGTTATGATTTCCATTTTACAGTTGAGGAAACTGAGGAACAGAATTAAACCATTGAGCCAAGGAACGTATGGTAGTAAGTGAGTTCAAAACCGAGGCCATGTGATCCTGTATTCAATTCCATAATCACCCCACATGCTGTCTCCCAGATTTTAGTTTTAGAAGATTCCCTGTCCTATGGCAGACCTGTTGATTTGGATTCTATGGAGATTAAAACCCAGGAAACTATATTTTTAAAAAATCTCTCAAGGTAGTTCTGACAATTGCTAGGTTTGGGGACCCCTGCACTATATGCTGGGAAAGGAAAAATGTCAATAGCAAGTTTCCGCCACTTTGGCCTCACATAACAAAATACAGAAAGGGTCCCAGCTGCCCCAAAAGTGACTCAGTACCTCTCCACAGAACCAATTACAAAGCCGGAACTAAGAACATTTCAGAACATCAGAGAGTTTCCCAAAAACCATAAAAGGGGAAATTCTATTAATATCATAAATTTCAAAGTCAGTTAATAAAGAACTGAAAGTGAAGAAACTTTTTCATAAACTCCTCATTGTTCGTTCTGTGTCATCCGCAGAGATGGAAGGTGTCAGCTTGGCCAATTTCAAAAGGACAGTAATCAGAAAAGGTCTGAGTGAAATTTTATTTTTTAATGTAGATGAAAATCAGAGAGCAAAATCACTTCGTGTAATTTTTTTGATGTTCACATGAAAACAAAGAAAAACAAAAACTGATTTCAGTAAAAGAACTTTTTTCCTGAAGTGCACACTCAGAATCTAAAGCTTTATGCTTAAAGATACAGACCCTTAAGAATTTGCTGTTGTACTTTTTTCTAGGTCAGAGGAGCTCTGGGGTGACACGATCTGAAATCTCTCTTACAAGATACAGAGTTGATACAGATAAAGTCAATCTTTTTAAGCATTTGCACTTGTACATGCACACAAACCCAGTCTCACAGAAACTATGCAAAAATCACAAAACCACAAAAGCAATGGCCAAATTTAGCAATACGTACTATGATCCTGTTGAAATAAGCAAAGGACCTGAACGGACCTTTCTCCAAAAAAAAAGATACACGAATAAAAATGGCGATGATGATGTGGAGAAACTGGAATTCTCACCCATTGCTGGTGGGAACAGAAAACAGTGCAGGTACTGTGGAAAACAGTTGGGCCGTTCCTCAAAAAGTTAAATGCAGAACTATCCGATGACCCAGTCATTTCACTCCTGGATGTACACCCAAAGAATTGCAAACAAATATTCAAACAAAAACTTATATGCAAATGTTCAGAGCAGCACTACTCACCAAAGCCAGAAGAGAGAAACAACCCAAGTGTCCTATAACTGATGAACAGACAGATGAACACAATGTGGTGTATGAACACCATGGAATACTACCCAGCCACAAAAAGGAACAGAAGACTGACACTTGCTACCATGAGGATGAACTTTGAAAACAGTATGCTACAGGAAAGAAGCCAGACCCAAAAGGACAAATACCAGGTGATTCCATTTACATGAAATATCGAGGAAAGGCTATCCACAGAGACAGAGAGAAGATTACCGGCTGCCACGAGCTAGGGGAGAATGGGCAGAGACTGCTTAATGGGTACAGCGTCTCCTCTGGGAGGCATGAAAAGTTCTGGAACTAGAACAGTGGTGATGGTTGCACAACATTGCGATGCACTTCATATCACTGAATTGTGCATTTTCAAATGGTTAAAATAGTAAGTTTTTTAAAAACTACATGTAACTATTAACTAGTTTTTCATATGGCAGGGGAAAAAAGAAATGACTAATAAGTGTACCACAGATATCTTTTTTAAAAAAGAACATACTGAAAGGTAAAAGAAAGTGAGATTCATTTTAAAACTGAAAGAGATTCTGACCAGTGAACATCATTTTGGTCATAGATCCCTGTGTTCTATGGGACAGAGTGTTGCCACGTGTCTGCGTGGGCCCCGTGACATCAGCACGTGCCAGGTGGTTCAGAATCCCCGAGTGACCAGTCCTGCACACTCGGTGGCCGTACACGCTACATATGGAAGGACTCCATGTACCAGGATCCACTCATGTCTACGTGCATAGAATTCCACCCTTCCGACGGCAGAAGAAAGGAGCGCTGCTTGAGTTCAGAAAAGCACTTAAGATTATCTTGAGCAATGCAGAACAAACATGCCTTGGCCTTCCGTGGAAACTAGTTCTGTTATCTCCTTCTGTCTCTGCAGGAAGTTGCTTTAAAATACCACACACGCCCAGCAGTTATAGGATTTTCCAATTATTAATAGTTTGCTATATTTGTTTAGACCCCTTACCCCGGTCAGTGATAGTCTGATGCTTTACACAGACGCAAGTCTGCTTTCAAAGGGGAAAAAATGGGAAAGGTCTGGAACCACCTGATGCCATCTGAGCCTTGGTGGCTGGGTCCAGGTGGACCTCCAACAGGAAACAGGAACATCAACAACCAGGGCGGGAATCCCACCCAGCTACGAGAGGAATCGTGAACCTGGACGTGGCTGCCTCCTTAGAAGTGGCCTGGGGAACCACAAGCAAGCACTTGCACAAATCCAGAACTAACCTATTCTCCTCAACAAGTCAGTGGCAAAAAGAAAAACAGAGAAGTTACTGTTCACGGTCAGGAGAGACTTAGAGTCATAAACATCAAACACAACCTGTGGACTTTCTCTGGATTCTGATTTTAACGAATCAACTGTAAAAAGATATTTGGGGAATACTCAAAGCGTTGTGAATATGATCCGGGCAGTGATGATATCCAAAAGTTATTACTAATTTTGTCCAGTTGTGGACATGTAAGAAAATGTCGGCCGGGCGTGGTGGCTCACGCCTGTAATCCTAGCACTCTGGGAGGCTGAAGCAGGCGGATTGCTGGAGATCAGGAGTTTGAAACCAGCCTGAGCAAGAGTGAGACCCCGTCTCTGCTATAAATAGAAAGAAATTAATTGGCCAACTAATATATGTAGAAAAAATTAGCCAGGCATGGTGGCGCAGGCCTGTAGTCCCAGCTACTCAGGAGGCTGAGGCAGCAGGATTGCTTGAGCCCAGGAGTTTGAGGTTGCTGTGAGCTAGGCTGACGCCAGGGCACTCACTCTAGCCTGGAAAAAAAAAAAAAAAGAAAGAAAGAAAATGTCCTTAAGTCTTCTAAATGTACACTGTTCGGGAGTTGCTTTAAAATACCACACACACGCAAAGATAAAATAAAATGTTAATAAATCTAGTTGTGGACCTGTGGGAATGTGCTATCCTATTTTTTCTAGTCATCAGATTATATAAACACACTATGCACATTTGCAAATACCCATAATAAAGAGCAAATGGCCCCAGCCAAGGCCAAACTCATGAGCTAGTCACAACACTGCTTTGTCAAACTTCCTCACTGTTCCTTAAGAGGAATCAAAGGACCCGTTCCATCACCACCTGCACCAAACTGATGAAAAGTAGGTGCTGTGGTCTGAATATTCGCCCCCTCCAAAACTCATGTGGAAATGTAATCACCCATGTGGCAGTCTTGAGAGGTGTGGTCTTTAAGAGGTGACTGGCTCATAAGGTTTCTCCTAGGGATTAATGAATTAATACGTTAATGAATTAATGAGCTGTCACAGGAATAGAGCTGGTGGCTTTCTAAAAACAAGGAGAGACCTGAACTAGCACACTCAGCCCCCTTGCCATGTGATGCCCTGACCTTGAACTTCTACTTAGCCTCCCTAACTGTAAGAAATAAATTAATTTCCTTTATAAATTACCCAGTTTCAGGTATTCTGTTATAAGCAACAGGAAAGAGACTAAGATAATAGGAGATGGAAACAAATTTAAGACACTGATTAACCACCTCTTTGCTTCTAAGATGCACTGGGTTAGATGGATTCTCCATTTGAGACACACGTGACAATTGCCAATCCAGCATTCACAGGTCTGATTATTTTAACAGAACAAAACATAGCCACCAATCTTGTGCTCCTCTTCAAGTACACAACGCTTGTTCCTTTATTCCCAGAACAATCCTTATGGAGGATTACCTCCTACCACCAGGCACTAAACCTGGCACTGAGCACCAGCAACAATCAAGACAGCCACGGCACCTGTGTGTGGGGACTGGCACAGTTCACCATGAAAAACCACAAACACCTGGGGCATAAGTGAGCCACAAAGCCATGGACAGTGTCTTTCCTAAGGGTTACAACAGTCTTCAGGGGGAGAAGAGATTGTGGAATGACCTCAAACCACTGAAAATACAGACAGGGATTCCCAGGCAGAATGCTTGTGAATGGGGAGGAAACAACAGCAGGCTCTCAGCCGAGTATTTCTGTGGACAGATGAATGCCAACGAGGCTAAGTTAGCGGAAACCTATAAAAAGCTGCCCTGTGGGAGCGCAGGTGTGGAGAGAAAAGGTCCTGACCACAGCCGAGGCCTGCAGTCACAGTGATGGCTCTGCCCACGTGCACAAGCAGGGCCATATGCCCACTCTGGCGAGGCCCCGGTGGGACAGCGGCTTGACAGGGCCTCCATGCCATCGTGCAGCCCGTGGCCTCCGTGCCAGTGGCGTGCTGAGAGGCGGCGTGGGCCAGTAGCCACGGGCACACTCTCCTTCATCAGCCTGGCTCGTGCCAGCTCTAGCAGAGAAGCCCGGCGAGACAGCAGAGGGCTCTCCTTTTCCTCTCTCTGCCTCAGGAAGAGAACTCTCAAGCCAAGAGCCAGGTGAGTGAAGCAGGTAAGGGCCACCTGCATGGGGCCAAGTGTTCAGCTGCACAAAGAGAAATCTGTTTGCCTTCTGGTCCTGTATCAGAAAAATACAGACAATGCGGATGGAAGACAAGGCATCCCAAGGAGAGTCCCAGTAAGGACACAACACTTAAGAGAGTACGTTAGTTTCCTAGGGCTGTTGTGACAGATGACACAAACTGGGCAGCTTACAACAACAGAAATTTATTCTGTTTCAGTTCTGAAGGCCAGAAATCCAAAATCAACGTGTTGGCAGAGCTGCATTCCTTCCAAAGGCTCTCGGGGAGGATCCTTCTTTGCCCCTCCTAGCTGCTAGTGGCTCCTGGAGTCCCTTGGCTTGTGGCTGCGTCACTCTAGTCTCTGCCTCTGTCTTTTCTTCCGTGTGTGCATCTTCTCTTCTGTCTCTTATAAAGACACTTCTCACTGAATTTAGGGCCCTGCCAGATAACTCAAGATGATCTCATCTTGACATCCTTAATTCCATCTGCAAAAGCCCTTTTTCCAAATCACACCCCAGGTTCCTAATCCCCTAACCCCAGGGGATTAAGATGAGGACATCTCTTCTTAGGGGCCACAGTTCCAACAATTACAGAGGACAGCTAACTGCAGCATTTCCAGGGTACACTGTATGTTCCTCTCTGACTCAAGCCAACCAAAATCAGTGGATGCATTTAAAAAAAGAAAAAGCAAACACAAGACACTTACTTCTCTTCAGAATTAAAGCATCTGCTTTAATCTCCCACTCTACATCAAAACAGGTAATGTTATCTTGTTCTTCAAAACAGAATCCTACTTAACCTCTCTGTGCCTCAGTTTCCTTGCCTGTGAAATGGAAAATAATAACCGTACCTACTCCATAGCGGTAATGACATGAGTTAATGCATGTAACTTGCACAGAAGGGTACCTGGCATGGAGTAAGTACTTAATAAACGTTAGCCTTTCTTATTATCATTATTATTATTATCCTATGTCTATTCAACACTATTTTCCTGAGAGTCCCATAGGTGTCCCTGCTAATGGAACAAGCAAAGGAATAACCCAATTTCTTGTTTGTTTCTTTGAAAGAGGCTAATTACATATCTAAATCTAAAATACACTGCTTGCTATAAAACCCTAAATGTGTGACAAGTCACATGAAGTAGGCCTATAGTTTAAATTATTTCTATTTACTTCATGGCCCACCTTGTTTCAGAAAGGACTTATTTAAACAGATACATTCAGAACAGTCACAGTCAATTAAAAATAAGTGGATGAGGGGAAAAGAACAAAAAGAAATAAGATTTGAGAGATGTCTGAAAAGATAAAATAAAGCCAGGAGAGAAACTAGTAAAAAGAAACCAGTCTGCTGCAATCCCCTATTCACTTCTTAGAAGCAGGTTCGATCTGCAATCTGGCTCTCAGCTCTCGCACCTGACATAAAGATAAAGCCTGACCAGCTAAATTATTCATTGTGTCCTTAAGATTAAAAAAGAGAAGGGGAGGGGGGTGGAGAAGAGGAAAAAGACATCTGCTCAGAAGAAATGCAATTGTTCCTGGTAGGAGGCAAGAGATTTCTCCCTTGGGCCTCCTCAAAGAAGGCATGATGCATTGTATTGAGTTGGGTTCCTAGATTACATATTTCTACAAGTCTTTATTTTATTTTATTTTACAGATACTATCTTTCTGATTCACCCCTAACATCTACGACCAATTAAATTGAGAGTTTTGAGCTTAACAAAGTAAGGAGTATTTATGTCCATGTCTGTGGTGGGGGTGGGTACAATGACAAACTCATCTGTAGGACGGGTGGGCGTACAAAGGTAAAAAGAAGACTTTTGTTTTTAAAAAGAGAAAAACAAAAGTTTTCTTTAAATAAGAAACATTGAAAAGAAAAGCAACATGCTCCTCCACCCTCCATGCCCAATACAAAACCCTGCAGTTTCCATGTCCTCTAATTCTAGAAAGCCTGGGAGGCAAAAAAGGAGTGAACTGGAGAAGGAAGAGGGTCAGAAGCATTAAAGAAAAACACAGAAGAAGCTTCCCATGAAGAGTCATCAAGGCCGGGCGTGGTGGCTCACGCCTGTAATCCTAGCACTTTGGGAGGCCGAGGCGGGCAGATTGCTCAAGGTCAGGAGTTCGAAACCAGCCTGAGCGAGACCCCGTCTCTACCAAAAATGGAAATAAATTAATTGACCAACTAAAAATATATATACAAAAAAAAAAATTAGCCGGGCATGGTGGCACATGCCTGTAGTCCCAGCTACTCGGGAGGCTGAGGCAGTAGGATTGCTGAGCCCCGGAGATTGAGGTTGCTGTGAGCCAGGCTGACGCCATGGCACTCACTCTAGCCTGGGCAAGAAAGTGAGACTCTGTCTCAAAAAAAAAAAAAAGAGTCATCAAGATGTCAAAGGTGAGCTGACATTGGCGAGCCACACATACACACACACACACACACAGGCCCCGACTCACTCACCTTGTTCAGCCACTTCAGCCCCGGTATCGTGTTGGAGTTGATCTGCTCCTCCAGCCACGGGCGCATGCGCATCCTCTCCACCGGCATGGTGCCCTGCTGCAGAAGAGAAACACAACGTCAGGCACTTGTGCTACTGACTGTCACGTCTGCACTGCAGATTTCCGACCCTTTCCTATTTTCCCCATCCTCTGGGCAGGGGCCAGGGGAGGGTCCTCAGGGGTTTGTTGAGCCCTAGAGCCCCCTGCCCCTGCTCACCCCTCCCTCTCATCCAAGGAGCCGTCTCAGGGGAATGGGGACAGGATGGCCCATTCTCCGAGCTGGCTCTCCACTGGCAGAGTCCTACAGACATAGGAGGCCCCTGGCAGAAACCCAGGTAGCTGGAGGGCCCGGACACCTCCCAGTGACTTTACCTAAAGCTAGGCTTTCCCCACTCCTACCCTGGCTGTGTTTACAACAGGAACCACCAGGGTGTCAGGCCCTCAGAGGACCAGCATGTACCAATACCTTTGGGTACAACTCTTCCAAGAGCCAAGGGTGGGCAGGCAAAGCAGCTATGTGGGAAAGAGTTATGCTAACCCATTCATTCCTTTTGGGGATCTGGGTTATATAAATGCTTTGAACCCCCAGCACTGGCACTGAAAGCTCTAAAGAAATCAGTGTTGCTCCCCCAAAGTCTTTTGCCAAAGAGCCCTTTCCTCCTGACATAGTCTGTCCACGTGCAGAGCACGCCAGCATCTTGCTCGGGCTTCACCTCTGCTTTGCCCCAATGCAGTCACGCCCTTCCTCAAGCACCTTTCCTCAACACCACTCTCCCCTCTGACCTGGCATCACCCCTTTTTCCTTTAACTCATTTTCCCTTTGAAAAGCATTTCATGGTCTGACCACCCACCATCCACCGACCCATACCATGCCTCCCTCCCTCCTTCCGGGTTCCTTTCTCAGACAGCCTTTCCTTTGCCCACCAACACAAACCCAGAATCACTAACAAAGTACCTTCCACACCGTCTACCACCCATCCTCACCCTGTGGAGGCCAAAATGTGCACTTAATCTGGGATCTGAAAGCAAAGGCCATGCCGATTCCAGCCTCCATTCTCTAGGACTTCATGGGCAGGGTGACATAATCTTCTTTCAACCCTAACCTGTCTCTCCTTAACTCATTTCCTTCAAAAAGGGCTCTGAAAATTCTATTCAGAGGAATTTGGGCTAAGATAATCACTGTCTGAATACTTCTCTCTTCCAGCTTGCCAAGTACTCTCTCTCTCTCTCTCCTCCCCTTACTCCCCCCCTTCCTCTCTGCCCTGCCCCAGCTGGTGCGAAGGCTCAGCATCATTACTCCAACCCTTGCATTTCCCCCACAGTTCTGGCCCCCTTGGTGTTGCAGACACCTCCTGCCCCTCGTTCACACCTTGCCCTCTCTCCTCACTCCCTGACCTTGCCAATCCTCACCCTCCTTCCAAGACCCAGCCTCCACCTTCCTTCTCCCCTGAGGCCTTCCCAGATCACTCCGGCCTGAAGTAACCCCTCCTCCTCCAACTCCTACCATACCACTGATCTTACATGGCCAACACTGCTTTAGGGCTGCTGTTTAGTCTTTAATTGTATCCTTGGCCTTACTTACACATTTTTCAGCTGTGTACACTCTCTCTTCCTAACCAAATCCTAAATTCTTTTTTTTTTTTATTTTTTTTTTATTTTTTGCAGCAAGTGGTATGTAACAAATCCTAAATTCTTTGAGAGTAGGAACCTAACTTCTAATGGGTGTTTTCATAATCCTACAAAGCCCAAATGCTGCCTCCCACACAGGAAACGTTCCAGACAAGGCCCCGGCCAGCTCCGAAGATCACCTGGGTGGTGCCACCACAGGAGGTCCGCCACACCCACTGGTCTGGAGGCTCCGGCCACCATTCTTTGAGACAGAAACAGAAAGCCTGGAGATTTCCACAGGGACCTGGAATAGCCATGAGGAGCCTCAAATACAGTTGCCCTCAGCGGGTCTCAAGCTGTCCCATGCATTCATTTGTTCGTCCACCCACTCAAAGATCACGTATTGAGAATGGTGTTCCAGAACTGGAAAAGACAGGACATTCCCAGCCATTGAGGAGGACACAGGAAAGAAGGGAGTTCCAAGGCCCATGAAGAGCCCTGGATGCAAGACAATGAGGAGTTCTGGGGAAGTCCTGGGGAAAGCTGTACACAGACCACAGTGGTGACCCTCCGAGGGTCTGCCCGCCGGGGTGGTGACCACCAGCCCAGTCACCGCCTCCCTCTGAAGATCTCAAGACACAGAATGTGTCTGGGCACAGCTCAGCCCAGAGCAGGAAATGAAATAGAGGGAAGAGCAGAAATAGGGGTGGCTACAGGGGTCGTGAGTAGAGAGCAACAGACTTGGTTCTTCTGACAGCCCGGCGTGCAGAACCCCTGTGCGCGGGCGCCCAGCGCCGCTGCGGTGACCCCGCCCAGCCACAGGGGACACAAGAGGCCCTGGGAAGTGGCCCTGCTTCCAGTACGTGAGCATCACAGCATAATACTTCCTCCCATGCTTTTGTACAAGTAACTCATTTGGGGGAGAAAACGGTCACCTGAAACACTTCCAAAAGCTAAAGCCCGCACGGGGAGATGCAGCGCATCGGCATTGTTGACAGCTTCTGTGTTTGTAACCCTGCCTCCTCACTAAGCCATGTGTGTACCCCCCAGTCAGTACTGGCGATGCTTTCGCAGTCAGTGGCAGAATGCACAGAATTCCACTTACCGGCCATACCCGCCCCCCAGCCAAGGGGGAACAAGGCAACACCACCTTCTTGTTTTAGCTCAGCTACTGTACACATATATGTCCTGTCCACAGTCTGTTTAGTGCGACATTTCCCATGATTCTGTGCTTTCTGTTGGTGATTTTGCTGTTTGAAATGCCCCTCGAGCATTGTGCTGAAGTGCTGTCAGCGTCCCTCAGGGCAGAGACGCATATGGAGAAAATACACGCCTCAGGTAAGCTTCGCTCAGGCGTGAGTTCTTATACAGTGGCTGCTGGCTATGAGTTCAATGCTAATCAGTCATTCCAGATATGAACTGAGGTGTCTTTAAGCAAAACACATAAAGCAAGGTTATATATTGATCAGCTGGTGAAAATGCTGTGCCCAGAGGCTCGATGTCCTCACAAGAAGGGGGAAATGTGGACACAGACGCACACCGAGGGAAGATGGCCAGGTGGAGACAGAGGCAGAGACTGGAGTGATGCTGCCACCAGCCAAGGAATGAATGCCCAGCATTTCAGAAGCTGGAGGAGGCAAGGAAGGGTCCTCCCCGGGAGCCTTCGGAGGGAGCAGGGTCCTGCTGATACCTTGATTTTAGACGTATGACCTCCGGAACGAAGACAGAATAAATTTCTGTTGTTTGAATCCACACAGTTTGTGGTTCCTTGTTAGGGCAGCCCTGGGAAACTAACAGAGAAGGGAGCCACTGCAAAGGCCCTGCGGCAGGATGACCTGCCATGGGCAGGCATCAGCAACAGGGAGGACACAAGAGACATGGAGAACCACAGCCAGGACTCTGGTCAACAGCCTAAGACTGAAGAGAAACCTGAAAAAGTCAAGCCAATGAATGATATTTGTCCATAGTAAAGGTCAGAGCTGGTCAGGAAATCCGAACCAGTGATTCACCGACTTAAACGCTCATCTGGATCTCAATGCAGGATGCTAGGTGACCCCTGGGAATCCACCTTCCTAACAAGCTCGGACGGCCTACACTCTGAGAAGTAAGACTCTGGACTCCCTTTAATTGTCAGTCACGAACTGCCTGGTCACTCTGGCCTTTCGTCTAAGCGTCAGGTTTGACGGCATCATCTACCTGCTGGGCCGTCCCCTGTTTACAGACCACGCCTCTCCAACCAGGCTGCAGCTCAGGCAAACCTCAAGCATACAAAAAGATTCTCACAATCTTACACCGGGACTGCTGTTAATTTTAAGTGGATTTTTTAGGAAACACAAATAGAGCACGTATTTTATCAGAGTAGGGAAAACTCTTACAAAGGGCTTTGCTTATTTCAGGCTTATGTTTGTTTGCTTTTGTACATAGCTAGGCCATCCCCCGTGATACACGACGACAAGCCTACCCACTTGCGTGAAGGCCTTCCCTCTGTTTCACTCGACTTTACACCCTGGCCCCATCTCCCACATTGAACAGGTTAATGAGTTACCAGTGGTCTTGCCACATGACACAGAACAGAAAGTTTGCCGTCTGACACAGGTTTCTCAGGACCATCAGAGGGTGAGCATACATCATGACTGCTGTGAAAAACAGCAAAGGAGGAATTCTACATCGAGCCCAGCACCAGGAACTGGTCATTTAGTTGGGCACTAAAAGCAGATTATATTTTCAGGGACTAAAAGACTGGGATGGCAGGCAGAGGGGTCAGATGACTAAGTACTGAAAAGAAAAGATGCTTACTTGGTGTGTGCTGTCTAGCTCCCGATGCTGAAATGCAAGGTGACACACTGGTCTTCCTTCTGAAAGGCAAGTCTCCCCCAGGCATTGACACCCAGGCCACGTGAAACTCGAACAGAACTGGAGAAGGCAGGTCACTGAGTGGAGGAGACACACAGGTGCTATTTTTGCCTGAGAGAACCAAAATGCACAGAAATCAGGACATTTGTGTCCCAGTCCTGCCTCTGCCGTTGCTGGTGTGTGTCCTTGGGCTAGTCACGCCATTCTTTCTGGCCCACTGCTTTGATCATCCAGAAACATGAGACATTTCAAAACGATGATTTCTAAGGTTATCTGGGATCATACAAATCCTTTTGTAACATGAAGGCTCATAATTCGATTTATTTTTTTGTAAGCTTCTACTCTCGTACACTGGGTTGTTTTTTATAAGTAAAGCGGTAAGATTTTGTGGTTCTACAAACAAAGTATGAACAACCTCTACTTAAACGGAAGTAAAAGAGCTGAAGCACCTACCTGGAGCCTGGCAAAAGGCACTCTGTAAAGTCGCCTTTCATTCATTACACCTTTGAGATGTGGGGTTGGGACCAGCTTCACCATCATGGCATCTGGCTATACACCAGTTCAGCACATGGTGGGTATTTAGAATGTCACTGGCGC